GCATCGTGTATTGCAATTCGAGATTGGGAATTGCACCAGATGGACGTCGACAACACATTTCTTCATGGCGATCTACATGAGGAGGTATACATGCATCCTCCATCGGGATATTCTGCTTCTAAACCCGGAACAATTTGTAAGTTGCTGCGTTCTCTTTATGGGCTTCGACAGGAACCCCGATGTTGGTTTTCAAAGTTAACTTGTGCACTTAAATCTTACGGGTTTGCCCAATCCGTTGCAGACTATTCACTGTTTACTCTTCACCGTGACAGTAAAATTTTGTGTGTACTTGTATATGTTGATGATCTTCTCCTTACAGGTAACTCACATGATTTAATTGTCCATTTTAAGAGTTTCTTGGCTAAGTCCTTCCCTATAAAAGATTTGGGCCGTATGCAATATTTCCTAGGATTAGAAGTGGCTCGGAATCCCTCTGGAATTTTTCTATGTCAAAGGAAATATGTGCTTGATATTTTGACGGAAACAGGACTCAGTGGTGCCAAACCTGTTTCCTTTCCTATGGTGCAGAATCACTCTATCACGCCTCGGACCTACCCGGACACATCAACAACCCGCCGTACAGTACGAATAGTCAACCGCAGTCCAACTCATCCATACTATACAAGGCGTCTTGAATACCATTAACACATAGTACATCCATAAACAAACATAACATAAAACATTCAATTAAAACAGCGAAAGCATTTAATACAAGTGTCTATGCCACACTTTGGCAAACATGGGCATACAAGCCCCAAAATAATTATTCAAAAATAATATCCATGAGCATTAACATAAGTATTTTTAAAACAGGACGGGAGAAGCACGAACCGCGTCTTCTTCCCTCGATTTCCCCGGAGCAACGGGCGACGGTAGCAGCTCAACTCCTACCTGAAACTGTGAGGTGGCCTCCCCCGTGAAGGGGAGGTCAGTACTTGGAAGCATTTGACAAGTACAATGACAACTGTACCGAGTATAATCAACGCTTTAATTTCTAAGACCCTCAAAATAGGGTGATATCATAATATAAATATTTATTTATATTTCACACTTATTATCTCTATAGTAAGTAAATTCATTTATTTGTCGACACACGGCCCTTCTTATTTATTTCCTCGCATTTATCATTTGCACAACCCCAACCGTGGGTCTTATTATTTCTACGGGATTTGCTACCGCTGTCGGAGACCTCATGGGGTTCTCGGTTTGGATTTCAACATCCCGCCCTTGGACACATACCCATCATCCTGTAGGAAGGTAAGGCCCTTCGGGGTCCTATCTTATGTGTTACCGCTACCGGAGCCTAGTTAGGTCTCCGATTCAGATTCCACCCTAACCCGTGATCACGATGCAAGTCCATGCTATCCAACCCCGCTCTCTAGAGTCGGGAAAGGGCCATGGTCCTTACTTATTCCCATAATTCAACCGGCTATCCTCAAGGACTACCGAACACGCCCGTAGGCCAATCCTATACCTAGGATCAATTTATTATTCAATTTATCTTGGGTATCCCTTAAGGCCTACCCCTAGTATAACTTAAAGTTCATACTTCCCTACCTTAAAGTATCTCTTAAGACTACTTAAGGCATAATACTTCACAATGTGACCTTAGGATCAATTTTAACAATATTTCATTTTAATGTCCAACTAGTATATCAATACTAGTCCAATTAATTCCAACAAACAAGGTTCTCTATTCATGGTCATTTATAGAATGCCCCACTGATTTTCCATTGAAAATATCATCATTATATCAATATACAAAAATATCACTTTTAATCATTCATATATTCTTATATGAAATAAAAGTATATTTCATCATGCATTTCATAGTTAATTCCATTTCCAAGTCAAAATACTCATAACACATGATCATACATAATTTATTCTTCAATTTGTATATCATGCTCCTTTTTCATAGACAATAATCTTCTCATTTTTAGGCATTATTAATCATTAATAATCCATAAAAACACATTTAATTACCTTAGGTAATCTCATGAAACTAACTCACTAATTATAAGCAACATAGTCAGCCATCCTCACCTTGTGATGTGCTACAATAGTTGCCTTTGATAAACCCTTCGATCAATCCCCGTTCTAGGCTGATTGAAAACGAAAATGGACTGCCGGGCAAAAGCCGTCCGGCTTTCACGAAAGCCGCCCGGTGTTCGTCAGCCTGCAATTTCGGGCAGCTCCTATTAAGTGGCGGTTTCCGGCAATTTCGACTCCTATCGATTTACCAACTCTTCTAAGTTAATTATCCCTACTTTGTATCAATATTCTACACTTCTTAAACGTGTAGAACATCATATTTAATCCAACATATGATTTCTACAAAATCATACAAGACTAAACTAGTTAAAAGAACTATTTGTGTTCTTACCTCAATTCCTAGCTCTTTCTCTTTGGATTTCTTTTCTTCTTGCTTGTCTCAACTCCAACCTTGTGAGAGACTTCCTGGAGCTTCTCCTCTCCTTGTGTGGTCCGAATGAGTGGAATGGGAAGGGGGGAGGTACCTCTACTCAATCAAGCAAAATGATGCATGAGTAGGATCCTAAAAATGGCTAATGTGACTTATGCCATCCCTTCACTTAATAACTCCGCACACACACACCTTCTCTTGTCTCATCCAGCTCTCACCTTGTCTACTAGAGCTCATAAAAACGTGGGGTGGCCCCCACTCATGTGGGAGGTCATCCCATTGTGTCCCGGTGTGTATAATCGGTCCCGAAAGTTGTATTTCTCGGACTGTTTCAATTATATTTTATTTAATCGGGGCAAATAAAATATATCACACATTACTAATAGTTATAGGCCTTTAGAATAGATGTACATTCTCCAACATTAATTTAGGAGTCTCTGAAATTCATTTCGGGCTGTTATCCGCTAAATTACCAATACCGGTAATTGGGTCTCGTTTGACCAACCGTTCAACTCCACGCCCTTCCTATTGCCCAACTACAATATGCACCACCATATACATATTATCTTTATCAAGATGAATAAAGTACGTGGTTCTGGAATTATAGGGCGGTCCCCGTTCCAGCTGTGGGCCCCACATGCAATTTACTATTCACGTAAAAGAAATAATAAAAATCAACAATTACGCAAATTCATAAATCATCTTTCAAAGTTTATTACATAATTTACTAAAAGTAAACATGCTTGGGGACGGTGTCACACACTCTCTTCAGCTGGATGATGGTCCCTTTTATTCTGATCCGGATGATATAGATGCTTGGTCGGGAAGCTTATATAGTTGACTCTCACTAGACCCGACATTAGCTATTCTGTGTACATTCTATCTCAATTTATGCAGAAGCCTCGAGTCACCCATTGGGATGTCGTTGTTCATGTGCTTCGCTATTTGAAGGGACATCCGAGTCAAGCCATCATGCTCGAACGTGATTCTGTTCTCTCACTTGTTGGGTTCTGTGATTCTGATTGGGCGAGTTGCCCTCTCACCCGTAAGTGTCTCACGGGGTATTTTTTTATGCTGGGGGGATCGCCATTCTCGTGGCGTACCAAAAGGCAAGTTACAGTGTCTCGTTCATCTGCCGAGGCTGAGTATAGGTCCATGGCATCTCTCACTTGTGAGATGTTATGGATCAAGAGTCTACTTGTTTCTATGGAGGTTCCCCATTCTCAACCCATGCGTATGCTTTGTGACAACCAGGCAGCCTTACATATTGCATCAAATCCTGTCTTTCATGAACGCACAAAGCACATTGAGATTGACTGCCATTTTCTTCGTCATCATATTCATTACGGCGCAATTATCGCTTAGCATCGCTCCACCAAGGATCAATTAGCTGATATCTTCACAAAGGCACTTGGAGCTCAACAATTCACTCATTTACTTACCAAGATGGGCATTTGTGATCTCTATGCTCCGTCTTAAGGGGGGGGGGGGGGGGGGGGGGTGTTGTGGGCTCTTTGGACGTGGCATTAGTTTATTTTGCAATTTAAATTCTTTGTATGTAATTTAATTCTTTCCTTTTTGTTTTCAGCCATACATGGAAGCGGTATATTGCATCCAAAATAACACGGTTGACTAGGGTAGCATGCATCGTGTATATATGTAATACACTTGTAGTCCTGCGGACACACAGAATAATATACAAAATTGATTCTATACCTACTTTTAACATGGTATTAGAGCCAAACCGATCCATAACCATGGTGTGGATTCCTTATGAAAAATGACGAAACGATTAAAAAAATGACAATGACGAACCGACGAAAAAATGACTAACGGCACGATCCAGACAAAGTGTCTGGTCGTGAGGAGGGGTGTTAGAATCCCACACCGGAAAAGTTTGAATCAACAAAGTGATATATTAAGACATGAACTACTCCTCCTATCAGGTTGAACTTTTAGGATGAAAGCTCAGACCTTAACATGATATCAGAGCTAATGTACAGTTGTGGTTTGACGACTTGTTTAACACCCCCATGATTAAAGGTTACTTGTTAAAGGTATCTTTGGCTCATTTGTACACTCCGATATGGTCCAGCCCGATTCAAACTAAGGGGGCGCATTCAAGTATTTGTCCTACACAGGAACACTATAAAACAATAAAACAATATATCAGACTTTGGGTTACTCTTCCTATCAGGTTGACTTTTTAGGATGAAACCTCGAGTCTTAACGGATTATTCGTCAAACTTTGCCTTAGCGATTGACTAGTTGTTCACATTGAATACAATTATTTTTTACATGATTTTTGAAAAAAAAAATGTACTCTTAATTAAAAATACTTTTAATTTTAAATAATTAAAATTTTATAAAAAAAGAATGAACATTGTGAAAAAATTTCAAACAGTTGGCGAGCATTTAATATTTATAAGCTACTTTAAAAACCTACAATATTATTAGTTAAAGAGGAAGAGATGTTTTAATCAAGTCTTCATCTCATAAAAAATTAAAATTTTTTATGTAAATTAAAAGTTTTTATATAAGAAATTAAAGAAAAAGAAATAGAAGAAGGAGAAGTAATGATTGTCATTCAAATTACTCCCATATATAATGATAGTATAATTGTTTACAAAAACACTCATATATTATACTCCGTATTAGTTACAAGTAATATAAACTTCGTATAATAGATTTAACTATTACGAGATTCACAAGATCGGATCAACCAAGACAGAGGTGATGATTGATTTAAGCTTTGAGGAATGTGTGTATGAATCCCCATCACCATCATACACCAAATCAATAACCCTTGCAAGGTTGACCACTCGGATGAGTATAGGCAATGGAAAAGTAGCAGTTGGTTTAAGGCATTCTTGATTGATGTCTTTCCATGCATTGCTCACTTGTTCTTCAAGTTCTCTCACAGCTTCCTCTTCTGACTTCCCATATTGTCTCATGTAGCATTCTACAGCTGAGTCCACATGCCCTCTTTCTTGTTCAAACTATACATGCATATATATATAGAAATTTATTTATACTCTGTGTGTGATTAAAACATTCACAAATTTCTAATATATACTAGCAAAATTAAATATGCTTTTGTATGAGTAATAATTAAATTGAAGAGAGTAAAAATAGCATAAAAAGCATTCAACACATGCATAATACTACCATTATCTTAGGAATAAAATATCATTTAGTCATATTTCAGAAATCATTACTTCTTTTAGTATGCTCTGAGTAATTTTCTCTAAATATATATGCGCGCATAAACATATAGGAGTATATTAGGTCCCAATTCACCGTGCACCTCAAACTTCAAAAGTCTTTTAACGGTCCAGTTCAATTCAAAAACGTCAAACATATCAAATTTTGTATAGAAGTTTGTGATAAAGTTCTTTGAAGAGGAGGCTTTGGGGGGAGTTCGGTCAGGCAACAGCCTTGGGCCTCACCAGGGCCGGCCATGGGGTAAGGAAACCTAGACAATTGTCTAGGGCCCCCAAATTCTAGGGGCCTCCAATTTTTATGTAAGCCCATATATTATATGTATATATATTTGATTTAAATTGCTATTTTGCTAATTAATGGTAGCCAACATTAATTAATAATTAGCGGACAAGTGAGCCAGGGAGGGAACGCCGAACGCTTCAATTTCTCTGCGAGACTGCGACTCTCTGACGGCAAAATGGCAAATCCCAGAATACCCAGCGAGGCCAACAATCGCCAATAGCTTATAGCCGGTTCAATTCCTCTTGGCTCTTGCAATTCCGCCGGCTGGCCGCCATCCAGTTCAGCAGTCCCATGCAGTGCACAACGGTCAACGGCAGAGCACCACTGCACCAGTGCCGCACAGGGCCTCCTACTAAAGCCTAAAGGTATGTAATATTGGATTATTTGACTATTTCTTTAATAGTAAATCAAATAACAGTGATTCAATTTAGTCATTAAAAATTATTGTGTATTTGTATAATTGTATTTATATGATTGAATATTGAAAGTTAGAAAATTTTTATCTAGTTAGAAATTGTATGAAATTGTAGGTTTACGATGATGGGAAAACGAAAATATTACTCGGGGTGTACAAAGAGAAAGAACAAATTAAGAAAGGACATGGTCATAAAATCGTTTACCGACTCTATGGATCGGTACATAATATCAAAACCTTCTCCCTCAAATATTGTTGAGAATGAGGCTACAAATATTGAGGTCGAAGTGTTAGTTGTGAGAATAATGTTGGGAATGTGGGAAATGAAAATGACAATGTCAATGATGATGATGAGAATGAAAATGTTGGTGTCCAGAATGTAAATGATGAGATTTTAGAGAATCTCCCTTCTTTGTTGAACTCAGACGATTTATTTGACCCAGAAAATTGGAAACCACCTATTTCTCAAAAACAAATAGACTTGTTGGTCGAGAGAGGTCGCAGAAGAGTAAAAGGGGTTGAGTATCCTATTGATAAGCAAATACTATACTCGTTGTTTGGGAAACATGGAAAGATATAATATGTCATGGTTAGTTTATTCTTTGTCAAAAAACAAAGTCTTTTGTTTTTGTTGTGTGTTATTCAAGAAAGGTGCAATGCAAAGCCCTTTAACCACTGCAGGTCAAGTGTATAATGATTGGCACAACTTAAATACTAGACTTGTAGAACATGAATTAAGCATGGATCATATCCATAATTTACGAGCATGGAGAGAGGCTGGAGTAAGATTGAAAAAAAAGGTGACAATAGATGCTTCCCGAAAACAAGCTATCAACAAAGAAAAAGAGTGTTGGAGAGCTGTTTCGAAGAGAATTGTTATTGTTGTCAAGACCCTTGCTACTTGTAATATAGCTTTCCGTGGAGATAATGAAAAGATTGTAGACGACAACAATGAGATTTTTTTTGAAGATTATTAATATGATTGCTGAATTTGATCTGATAATGGAAGAACATCTAAGGCGTATTCGGAAGAAAGAGATCCGAAATCATTATCTTGGACACAACATTCAAAATGAGATGATCCAACTTTTGTCAAATGAAGTGAAAAAGAAGATCCTCCAAGTAGTGAAAAGTGCAAAGTATTTCTCTGTTATCCTAGATTGCACACCTGATGTTAGTCACGAGGAGCAAATGACACTTGCCCTAAGATATGTTAATGTGTCTACGAGTCCAATTCGAGTGGAGGAGTTTTTTATTACATTTGTGAAAGTTGTTGAGACAAGTGGAGAAGCTCTCTTTCATGAACTTAAAAGACTCCTTGAGACCCGCATGTCGATGGGAGGTTTTCAAGACTTATGTTAAAGACCGTGATGGAAATGGTCTTACTCTTAAGTCATGGTCAGATACGCGTTGTGATAAGTCTATATTTAGACACGCATTTGATGCGTGTCAAGATCGGCTTTTGATGGTTTTCCTAGCTTTAAGGTGTTACAAGTCTCAATTTTAGCTCAAGTTATGTTTAACAGGCGTTGGTTCGAGTTTTGTGTCACTTGGAGTCAAAATCAGGATTTTAGAGTCAAAATAATTTACGGTGTTGCTCCTACTCCTTTCTTTGAAACATCTTTTGAGCTTTCGGTGATACCTAGAGTAATCAAAGTTTTGAATCATGTTCTCTGTCCACCCGAAGAGGATGAGAGTTTCATACTTCACTTTTGTGCTGATGAGGGTTATGAACACCATGTGCTACCTACGTTTACTAGAGAATTTAAAGGTCTGCGCCACTTAATGGCATTTGTTGAAAGGAGCTTATGAGGTATCGTCGGGCACACGACGTTAAAAATAACGCTTCTTAGGAGGCAACCCGAGCTTATTTACGCTTTTGTTTTTTATTTTGCTTTGTTTGTTGTTTGGTTGTTTTGCTTTGTTTTTTTGTTGCAGCTCAGGGTCTTGTTGTAGGGATGATGTGCCGAGGATTACATTGACTCAGTTTAGTTCTGCACCGACCAACGCCTTAGGGAAGTTTCTGCGACTCTTTTTATCGCCTGGTTTGTAATAATTGACTTATGTTGATTTTGATCATGCATGACCCTTTCCTCTTTACCCCTCGTGAATAGTGCATTTTTGGTCATCGAGGGCGATGCCAAAGTTTAAGTATGGGGGAGTGAATTGGACATTCGGGCAGTAGTTGTCACATGGGATTACTAGAGTTAGCATGTGCAAGTGTTAGTTGTATATTCATAGAAAAGTCGTGTCAAAATTTTTGAAATTTTTTCTTTAAACCATGTCTTTGTGAACTGGCTAGCGTTTTGACTATGCTTTTACAACATCATTGAAGTGTTTAGGCTTAATTTGCTTGCATAGTAATCTAGTTGATGAAATGATGAAGGCATTACTCACCCATTATATGAATGAACAAATTTCCCATCTGACCTGAATAAGTTCTTTAGGAGAAGCCACTTTGAGCCATATCGTTTATTGTTTACCCAATTAATTAAGCTCCATAGCCAAATGGCCTGTGTTTCCTTACCTGTGAATTTTTCTGACATAGTTTTGGTGGTTAGGGAACTAGGGGATGAATTTGCTAAGTTTAGGGAATTTTTTGTAGGAGCCAATTTTGGCACTGTTCCTATGCCCTAAATGGAGTAAGAGTAGTAACTTTTTAGGAATTTGTTATTTTCGAGGATTGCATTGTAGGCATGGATTCACTTTTAAGTTAATGAACTTTAATTGCTATTTTTCCTTGGTGAGGCCGAGATTAGAATGGGGTAATATCTAATGAGAATCTGAAAGGTGAAAAATTAATATAGCTACTTACCTTGCGAAAAAGAGAATGGGAGCCCCGGTCAAAAGCGTAAGTGTTCGCACAATAAGATGAGTCTTGGGTATCTTTCGAAAGAAATGGCGTTCTCGTGCCAACATGACAAGGAAAACTAAACTTAATTCATTTAACTTGGAGGCTATAGAAAAATCAGCTTTAGTCCTCCGTGTACTTCAAGTATACGTCAAAGCACAAATGTGCTGCGGCGGTTTAGCTTAGTTGTACACCATGTCTACTATTTGCATAGGTTTAAATGATTGTTCCTAAATTGTGGCCTACTGGGTTCCTTGATCCTAAGAATAGCCCTGAAGTTCCTGAATGCATTGAGTTTTTGTTAGAATATTCCAATCTCTCAAAAGAAAGGGACTATTTATTACCATTCACCATTCACCATCACCTTCACAAGTCCTTCTGATCAACAGCTAGTTTATTTGTGTATGTTGTCATTACTTTAAGGATGTTGTGAATAATTTTGTCAAATAGTTTAGCTTGAGTACAAAGATGTAGTTTAGGGAAGAATTTTCTTGGTTTAGATTGTCTGTTCTGTGAATATCCCTTTAACTACATGTCTACATGTGCATGCTAATTGTTTTGATTCCGTGTGGTGATTATCGTAAGTCCCGTTGTTCAGTTTGCTTGAGGACAAGCAAAGGCTTAAGTGTGGGGGAATCTGATAAGTCTGTATTTAGACACGCATTTGATATGTGTTGAGATCGGATTTTGATGGTTTTCCTAGCTTTAAGGTGTTACAAGTCTCAATTTTAGCTCAAGACATGTTTAACAGGCGTTGGTTCGAGTTTTGTGTCATTTGGAGTCAAAATCAGGATTTTAGAGTGTAGCACTGGCGCTTGAGGAGAAATCGGGATGAGTTGAGAAGCATTTGAGATTGATTTGAGAGCGATGGAGGTCAGCGGGAGGTTTACGATGAAGATTTGATGACAAAAGAGCTCTAGGATTGGCTTCGGGGTCAAAGGAAGATGAATGAAGCTTGAAAACGACGATCAGGGTGACCTTCTGTCAATCGTTCAAGCATCTCTTTGTAGAAACAACTAATGGACATGATTCAAGTTGTATATGAAAGACAACTTCAAGGGATACAAATCATGTGAAGACACCGTTACGAGAACAGGAGAGCAAGAAGGTTAAAACAGATGATGACGTCAGATGATCTCTGCTGCGATTTCAGAATGACACCTTCACCGTTTTGATCATATCTCTTGATTGGATGATTCAAATCACATTCGGCAAGTTGGGGTGGATAGAGGACTTCATTATCTTCAACGTTAAGTTTTGTCAAATTCGGAAAAGAGAAAAGGCTGAAGAACACGAACGCACGACCGTGCGTCTGGGACGCACGATCGTGCGTAAGAGGCAAAACCGTAGAGGAGCTACTGCCTGCTACGCACGATCGTGCGTAGCCAGGGACACACGATCGTGCGTAGCCCCGAGTTACGCACGGAAATTTCCCACATCGACCAGAATTGCGATTTTTCTCCTCTTTTCTATAAATAAGGCCTCCCTAACCCTTTTTAGGGGTCACGAACATTACGGAGAGACCTAGGGATGAATTCATTCATTGTTTTCCGCTATTTTACTCCAAGACCCTGAGATTATTTGTAAGTTCGTCTTTTTAATTAATGACAATTTATTCTATTCTTTCCAATTCTATCGATTCTTCAATTATGAATTGTGAGTTGCTTAATTAGGGATTTGGGATTGATGAAGGGGTTAATTACGATGTATGGCTAGATTCTTTATGGTTTAATTGCATGAATGTTGTTTAATTTGTGTTTGAATAATTTAATTGATATCTTTTGTAACCTGGAACCGCGGCTAGAATTACAATTGCTTGTAGAATAAATTAAGAGAGATCTAGTTTATTCTAGGACACATTCACACACACTTAATCGTTTGCTAAGAGATTAGTAGCGATTAAGGGGCCGTAAGTTCGCTCGTCTTGGCAATAATTTAGGATCCTGTCGCTTGAGAGATCATCCTGGTCCCCTAAATTATTGTACTCTACACCGCAAGAGCAGTAAGATCTTAGTATTGATTAGCTAGGCTCAATTAAATTAAATTCATGTAATTAGGCCTGATCTACCAGAAATCTGATTACCCTGGAATCAATCCCTATTCCCTTTGTCGTTAATTAAGAAGAACCCAAATCTTTTTTTTATTCGCTCATTCGCATTAGTTTAATTTCTATTCAACCAATCAATCTCACACGACGCATTTATTTTATTTTATTTTTAATCGCTGAATTTAGTTAATCTTTAATTCCCTTTTGTCCGTCCCTGTGGAGACGATACTCGTACTTTCACCACTATTCTACTATTAATTTATGTGCGAGAAAACTCACATCACATTGGGAAAGTCGTGTTGCTAATGTTAGAACTATCAGGTTCCAAGCACCACAAATTAAAAAAGCATTGGGGCACTTGACCAAATTTAGCAATGACCCTAGCACGGTTAGTGATGCCAAGTCTATATCTGATTATGAAATGAACATTGATTTTCTTGTTGCTTTGGTCATATGGTATGAGATATTGAACAAGGTCAATAAAGTTAGTAAAGTCTTGCAACAAAGAGATATGAATATGAGTTCGGTCATTAGTCTCTTGAAAGGTTTGATTGCATTTTTCAAAGAATATAGAGAAGTTGGATTTGAAAAGGCCAAAGTTGAAGCTGGAAAGATTGCCATTGAGTTAGTTATTGAACCTCAATTTCGTGAGACACGAGTCCGTACTAAAAAAAGGTTCTTTGATGAGAATGCAAATGATGAACCAACAAGGTTACAAGAGAATGCAATTAAAGTCATTTATTTCTTAGTTCCTGTTGATAATGCTCATTCTTCACTCTCTAGTAGATTTGAGCAGTTCCATAAGTATGATGATACTTTTGGATTCTTGTACAATTTGACTAAGTTGAAGGGGTTGAGTGATGAGGACTTGATGAGTTATTGTGGCAACTTTGAAGAGTTTCTCAAGCATGGTGATGATGAGGACATTGATGCCAAAGAGTTACTTTCAGAACTGCAGATGCTAAGGGTTTCAATGTCAGGATGCACAAAAAAAGCGATTGAAGTGCTGGAGTATATAAAAGATTTGCATATTTGTTTTCCAAATGCTTGGATTGCCTACAGAATTTTATTGATCATTCTAGTGACCGTTGCACTTGCAGAGAGAAGTTTTTCTAAATTCAAGCTGATAAAAAATTATCTCCGATCAACCATGTCTGAGGATAGATTATCTGGTTTGGCTACTCCATCGAATGAAAAAAAATGTTAGCTACTCTTGATTGTAGTAATGTTCTTACAAATTTCGCTCTTCAAAAAGCTAGAAGAATAGATTATTAGTTTTATCCATGTATTTTTGAACAATTTGGATCTTTTTCTTTCGAAGAATATCCTCTTTATGTTAATATTATGTGATACATTTCATATATAATTCATTCTATTTCATTTGATATTCTGTTTTTTTATATTGTTACATTGAATTAAGTATAACAAAACAAAATTTCTATATGACCGTCTAGGGCCTCACAATCGCTCTAGACGGCCTTGGGCCTCACATGCCTAGGGTGCCTCCAAAATCAAAGCTATTACTATTATTATTATTATTATTATTATTATTATTATTATTATTATTATGTATAATTACTTAATAATTGGAAACTAGAATAGGAAAGTTATCTTCTACGCATCCAGTAGGCAACGATGTGTCACATGTAGATGTCTAAATAAGGTGATAAGGATTTTAACTTTTTAGTAGTACAAGTGTTTTAGTGTGATTACAGTGAAATAATGTCTACTAAAGGAGTAAAGGTGTAAATTTAAATATTTAATATGCTGAATGTTAGGTATAATCTAAAAATTATTGGGTTAATATTGTAATAATGGTAAAACAAATTGGTATTGTATGGATTAAATCATACGTCGTATGATATAGGAATGAAATAATTAATGTGATGGTATTGGTATTACTAAATTATTTGTTTCCTTTGGACATTCACGTTATATCTGCAATTTGAATATTTTTTTCATATGATCTTTTATGATTTGAATATGATAATTTTTTTTGTCTGGGGCTTTCAAAGTCCTCAAGATATCCTGGTTCTTTGTAGCGGTCCAATTCAATTTATACATCTTGGCTACAACTACTATACTTCTTGATGCAAAGAGTCAAATATTGTATCCTATCGAACCGACCTCAATCGTGAATCGTCAGACAAAAAAACACAATGCCTGGAAATGTACTTGTGTTTTTTTTTTTTTTGAAAAATCTGTACACTAATTCATTTGTTTCATAGGAACGTCCCTAACGTACACTAAGTGTCTTTGCCGTATGGAGAGGATGACGCTTTGGTGGGCCTATCAGGACTACATACTGATATTACCTCAGTTTCACTAACATTAGGATATGAGGAGCTCGATGTGCGCTTATTACAAGAGTGGATTTATGTGGTTGAATTGAATTGATAGAGTAAGATGAAAGTATGAATGATTTAGAATCATACATATGTTACCTTGTGCCCTGCTATGTCATCCTTTAATCTGCCAATAATGGCAGAAGCTCGAACAATTAAAGGATCTTGGCTCAGCCAATCAAAGGTCTCTCTAGTTACGAACTCTTCTTGAATTCCTACTAAAGAAGTTGTTGCTAGCATCAAATGAGCACCTGTCTGAAGTGCCACCCTCATATACTGATCAAAAGTTGGAGACCCATCAACATACAACCACTTGGCTTCTTCATAGTATGCATCCACTAATTTCTTCATCTAATCATACACACAACAACGTAAACATCATACTGCATATAGTATGGGAATTATTTTAAGTGATATCACGCTGGTTTAATTTAAAAAGAATCCCATTCACGTCATCTTTATATAATATAAAGGAATTGGATGGACAATTGGATTTCTCCAATTATTCCCGCCTATTCCCGCATTGAATCATTCTTCAAATCAGAACATTCAATTAAGTTATTTATTATACGATAGTATATGGTAAGCAATGCATACTAAATGAGTTCTAAGGAGATGCTTGAATGTGAGATGCTCGAGGTACAGTAACTTTTTTTACTTAAATTGAGGTACACCTATATATTATTGACCAATGCATTAGACCCAAATGATCGAGATACAATAACTTTTTTTACTTGAATAGAGGTACAATAACTTAGTATATCAATATCAGTTTTATAATAATATAATCAAAACAGGATACAATTCAATAATCCACTACAAGAAAATTGACTTTTTGCGATGAACAATTTTCAACCAACGTTAAATTTACTCGAATTATAATGAAGATACGCGTTTTATGGACCATATATATATTGTCGTACCACATGTATGCGATCACAAAGGTAAATACACATAAAATTTGAAAAAATTAAGGAGTCCATTATCAACGTCCATAATTACTTGAATCCAATTACAATTCTAGAAAAATATTAAAATTTGTAATTACATACATCGAATACCTCATCTTTACAATTTATAGATTTAATAGATATGAAAAAGTAGCCTGAATTCACAAAAATTAAGTGGATAAAATGCATATAAAGAATAAAATAGAAAAGTAAACAATTTGTTTCGTCAATTTAAAATGAAAAGAATTATTTCTCTTATAAAATAAAACTCATTGAGTAACAAATTTATATTAAAAAAATACTAGGGTGAGCACATCGGTTTCAATACGGTTTTAATATCAATTCGATTCGGTTTGAAACAGATTGGAATCATACTATGTTTTGGTTTAGTTCGGATTAATTCAGTTCTTTTCGGTTTGAATTTGTTATGTTTAAAAACATATTAAGAATTTATTGACTATTTGAGTTCAGCTCGACCTTATCCGATTTCTCACGGTCTCGATTTGTTTTACTTTGATTTAATTTGATTTGGAAGACATACCACTAAATTCAAATGAAATTGCGTATGATTTGATTTCGGTTCAATTTGGTACAATTTGGTTTACTCAAACCGAACCGATTTGCTGCCCACTAAAAAACTCATGAAAGCTCATTCTCTAATAAGTGGCATCCATGGAAGTCAAGTGAAGTAGTACTTATTCATTATTCATAAGACTTCGTTAAGTAACATTGTAATTGATATAATCGGTTAAAACTGCTGAAATTGTAAAATTCTAGCTGAACTGATTAAATTTTCTAATTCTGCTAAATTATAGAAAAATTATACTCCGTATTTAAAATATATTTAATTAATGAAATAAAAAATTAGATGAAAATCAATGTAAATTTTTCTTAACCTTTTTCTTTATATATCCAATTTTTTCCAAATTTGAGTTTTTTGTGACTTTACAAGACTTTTAATGTAATTTTTGAATATTTAAATTTTATTTACTAAAAATAATTTTTATTATGAACAAGGATCATTTAAATTTATGACCAGTCAAATATCGTAAACTCAACTGGTCATGGGACCGTTACTCGGGCCGGAGGTAGTATACAATATTCATTCATTCTCTTTTTTATTTGAGTAGTGTGAGTTGATTTGGGTTCATTATCTAGTTCGTATATAAGACACTAAAGCCGGAGGTACTTTTCCTCTTTTTTTTATCTAAGTTGATGTAAAAGTATATATGATCTTAAATTTTAATCTTATTAAATTGGATTTAATAATGGTCAACAAAACAGGGATGAATGGTCACAAAAGCTCACGTAGATTCGACTAAGACGGATAAGAGATGATACATGATTTAATATTGATCTTCTCAAATACGGAGTAATAAATAACTTCGTGTGGAGCAAACCTCTAGCTATAATAATTTTTTACTGGAAGGGTAAAATACTCAACTAGACCCATGAACACTGTCACGACTCTCCAGAACGCCGCGGCATTGAATGACATAGGCCGCGGCATACTGAGACCTGAAGGCGAGTTGGAGTCTAGAGATGCTTAAGAGAGAGGGGCAGAATCCTGGAGACTAAGAGAACATTCTAGACTCATGTAGATAAGTGTACACTTGTATAGAATTGAATAGAGTAGAATACTCTAGAATCTCATAGAGTTGTATAGAATACTCTAGAATTGAATTGTAGCCGTTAGATCAAGTAGATCTAAGCCGTCCATTGAGGAGGAGGGCAAGTATAAATACCCCTCATGGCTGGCTCATTTGTATCATCGAAAGCTTGAGAGCAATAAAGCCTTTATACAAGTTTCTCCACTATTGGTGTCCTAGTTTCCGCAAGAGTTAGGCTGACTAGCATAGTTTGAGTGAGTGTTGCTAGTGCCGCACGGGTTCGAGAATAAGTCCGTGACAGTTGGTATCAGAGCCAAGGTTTTGGTTTCGTGTCCTTGAGAAGAGATGGCCGGTTCAGATAGCGAGACAACTCACATGGATGCCGGGAAGCAAACCAAGAGGGGAAGGTCCAAGTCTCGAGAAGCCATGACGGAGGTGGAGACTCGGCTAGCCAAGGCGGAGCTTGCCATAGCCGATGGGGAAGAAAGGTTTGAGGAAGTCGACCAACGCATCGTGGAACTTGCGAAGAATAGTGAAGATCTTCGAGGGGAGGTGCAAGGGGCGGTCAATGAGATCCTCGACCGATGTCTTTCCGAGGTCAAGAGCTTGGAGGGGACTTTGATGACCATGGTTGCTTCACTGCGGGAGGAGTTGGAGAAGGTCACCAACGAGTTGGTGGAAACCAAGGAAGAGCTGGTCCTATGCAAGAAGGCGGTCGTGCAAGGAGGAAGCACATCGTCGAGTGAGGTAAGTCCTACTCCCTCTAAGGTTGATGTTCCTAGACCCAAGACATATAAAGGGGCCAGGAATGCTAAGGAGATAGAGAACTTTGTGTGGAGTATGGAGCAATACTTCAAGGCTCTTGGTATTGTTGATGATACAAGGAAAGTTGACACGACAACCATTTATTTAGAGGATACCGCCATGTTGTGGTGGAGAAGGAAGTACGGGGACCGAGAGAAGGGTCTTTGCACTATAAACACGTGGGAGGAGTTCAAGAGTGAACTCAAGAAACAGTTCTGCCCTATAAATGCGGAAGAGGAGGCGAGAGCTAAGCTAAGGCGTTTACAGCACAAGGGAAGCCTGCATGAATACGTGAAGGAATTGACTGAGGTACTCCTAGATATCCCTGACTATCCTGATAAGGAAGCTTTCTTTGCTTTTACGGATGGGTTGCAAGGTTGGGCTAAGATCGAGGTCCAAAGGCGTGGGGCTCAAGATCTCGACACTGCCATTGCTATTGCCGAGTCCTTGGTGGAGTTCAAGAAGCCGGAGAAGGTGAAGCCACCGACTAAGGAGAAGGGCAAGGAAAAGAAGGGGGAAACCACCGTCCACACAAAGAGGGTTTCCAACACTTTGACAAGAGCAAGGGGGCAAAGGAGACCAAGACATGGGAGAAGAGACCGTTGAAGTGCTTCTTTTGTGATGGGCCACACAAGGCAAAGGATTGCCCGAAAAAGGCCAAGCTCTCGGCCTTAGTTGAAGAAAGGGAGGAACGAGAATGGGAGGAAGCTATGGTTGGTTCCCTTCACATTCTCAATGCCATTAAGGCCAAGGTAACCGAGACCAAGACGGAGAAGAAGGGGCGTTTGTTCGTGGAAGCTAAGGTACGTGGACAAACAACTAAAGCTCTTGTTGATACTGGTGCTTCTCACAACTTCTTGGAAGTTAAGGAGGCAAGGAGATTAGGCATCCCCTATGTCGAAGACCATGGTTGGCTGAAAGCTGTTAACTCACAGCCTAAGTCAATCTATGGACTGGCTCATGGGGTTAGGGTTACCTTGGGCGAGTGGAGTGGCTTGATTGATTTTTAAGTCGTTCCTATGGACGACTATCCTATCGTGTTGGGCATGGAGTTTATGGATTCGGTGAAGGCAATACCGATTCCGTTTGCCAACACTATGTGCATAATGAAGGAAGGCGAGACGTGCATGGTAAAGCTATCCCGGGAGGAGAGGATCCAATCCAAGCAAATCTCGGCCTTGCAACTTGCTAGGGGAATGAGGAAGCGGCGACCTACATACTTAGCCATCTTGAAGGAAGAACCAATGCCGACAAGTGATATGCCGGAGGGAGTGGCTAAGGTGCTCGTGGAGTTCAAGGACGTGATGCCGTCCGAGTTGCCGAAGAGACTTCCGCCCAAGAGAGACGTAGACCACAAGATCGAGTTGATCCCCGGGTCTACACCACCAGCAGGGGTGCCATATAGGATGGCACCACCAGAGTTAGAAGAAATGAAGAGGCAGTTGAAGGATTTGTTGGATGCGGGATACATCCAACCATCCAAGGCACCCTATGGCGCACCCGTGTTGTTCCAAAAGAAGCATGATGGGTCATTGCGTATGTGCATCGACTATAGGGCGCTAAACAAGATTACGGTGAAGAACAAGTATCCGATTCCACTCATTGCGGACTTGTTCGATCAGCTTGGAGGAGCAAAGTGGTTCTCAAAGTTGGACTTGAGGTCGGGCTACTATCAAGTAAGGATTGCCGAAGGAGATGAGCCGAAGACCACATGTGTGACAAGGTATGGTTCCTTCCAATTTCTTGTAATGCCATTTGGACTCACGAATGCTCCAGCTACGTTTCGCACCCTCATGAATCGGGTATTCGAGCCGTTCTTGGACAAGTTTGTGGTGGTTTACTTGGATGACATAGTTATCTATAGTAAGACTTTGGAGGAGCACATTGATCACCTAAGGCAAGTGTTCCAGAAGTTGAGGGAGAACGAGCTTTACGTGAAGAAGGAGAAATGTGCCTTTGCTCAAAAGGAGGTGACGTTCCTTGGGCACATTGTAGGAGGGGCAAGATCTGAATGGATAAGGCGAAGATCGAGGCAATATGTGGATGGGAGCCGCCCAAGAAGGTGACCAAGTTACGATCCTTTCTTGGACTTGCAAACTATTACCGACGGTTCATCTAAGGCTATTCTTCTGTAGCATCTCCGCTCACTGATCTATTGAAGAAGAAGGTAGCATGGAAGTGGGATGAGAGGTGCCAACATGCCTTTGAGGAGTTGAAGAGAATTGTGACCGAGGAGCCTGTCCTAGCACTCCCTGATCACACAAAGCCGTACGAAGTCCAGATCGATGCCTCAGACTTTGCTCTAGGAGGAGTATTGATGCAAGAAGGGCATCCCATTGCCTATGAGAGCCGCAAGCTGAATGATACCGAGCGTCGCTATACGGTCCAAGAGAAGGAAATGACAGCCGTGGTGCATTGCTTGAGGACATGGAGGCACTATTTGTTGGGGTCCAAGTTCGTGGTGAAGACGGACAACGTGGCAACAAGTTATTTCCTCAATCAAAAGAAGTTGACGCCGAAGCAAGCAAGGTGGCAAGACTTTATTGCGGAGTTTGACTTTGTGATGGAGTATAAGCCGGGGAAGACGAACAATGTGGCCGACGCATTGAGTAAGAGAGCTGAGCTAGCTGCCATCACAAGCCTGAGTTTCCCTTTGGTGGATCGAGTCAAGGAGGGACTGGAGCATGACCCAAAGGCCAAGAGTTTGATGGAGTTGGCAAGTCGAGGGAAGACACGCCAGTTTTGGCTTAGAGAGGGGTTGCTCATGACCAAGGGAGATTGGATCTATGTGCCGAAGTGGCAAGGATTGAGGAAAGAAATCATCAAGGAGTGCCACGATTCGAGATGGGCTGGACATCCTGGAATTAGACGCACGATGGCACTGATAGAACGTGCGTACTATTGGCCCCAAATGAAGGATGAAGTGGAGTTGTATGTGAATACTTGTCTGGTGTGCCAACAATACAAGGTGGATCAACAACAGCCAGCGGGTTTGCTGAAGCCGTTGCCCACACCAGAGAAGCCGTGGGAGAGCATATCTATGGACTTCATCACATGTTTGCCTATGTCCGAGGGGTGTGGGAACATTAGGGTCGTGGTGGATCGGTTTAGTAAGTATGGAGTGTTCATTCCTGTCCCTACGAAGTTCACCGCTGAAGATTCCGCACGCTTATTCTTCAAGCATGTGGTAAAGTATTGAGGCATACCGAAGACCATCGTAAGCGACCGAGATACCCGTTTTACCGGGAAGTTTTGGATGGAGCTGTTCAAGATAATGGGGTCCGAGCTTAACTTCTCTACGAGCTTTCACCCCCAAACCGACGGCCAAACCGAGAGAGTTAATGCCTTGTTGGAGTTGTACTTAAGGCATTACGTGAGTGCAAACCAGCGGGATTGGGCAAAGTTGCTCGACATAGCTCAATTCTCATATAATTTGCAAAGGAGTGAATCGACGGGGGCAAGTCCGTTCGAGATTGCCACGGGGCAGCAGCCGGCTACTCCACACTCTTTGGCCGTAGGATATCGAGGTCCGAGTCCATCCGCGTTCAAATTTGCCAAGGGATGGCATGAGAAGGCCGACATGGCGAGGGCATACTTAGCTAAGGCCTCGAAAAAGATGAAGAAGTGGGCTGATGCTAAGAGGAGAGACTTGGAGTTTGAGGAAGGAGACTTGGTGCTGGTGAAGCTCCTTTCCCACCAGAAGCATACGTTCGCCAAGCTGCACAAGGGGTTGGTGTGGCGATATGAGGGTCCATTTCCCATAGAGAAGCGGGTTGGTAAGCTTGCTTATCGCTTGACCTTACCCTCACACTTGGAGATTTATCCGGTGTTTCACGTGAGCTTGCTTAAGCCCTACAAGGAAGACAAGGAGGATCCGAGTAGGGGCATTTCGAGGAGAGCACCGACAGCAATAACGAAGGTTCCCGAGCGCGAGGTTGGAGAGATATTGGCTCATAGAGTCATACCGGGGAGAGGCGCACATCCGAGCTACGTGGAGTACTTCATCAAGTGGAAGGATGCTCCGGACAGCGAGGCAAGTTGGGAACACGAGTTAACCTTGTGGAACTACTAGGATTTGATAGAGGCTTACAAGAAGACCACGACGAGGACATCGTGAGATTGAGTGGGGGAGAATGTCACGACTCTCCTGAACGCCGCGGCATTGAGTGGCATAGGCCGCGGCATACCGAGACCTGGAGGCGAGTTGGAGTCTAGAGATGCTTAAGAGAGAGGGGCAGAATCCTGGAGGCTAAGAGAACATTCTAGACTCCTGTAGATAAGTGTACACTTGTATAGAATAGAGTAGAATACTCTAGAATCTCATAGAGTTGTATAGAATACTCTAGAATTGAATTGTAGCCGTTAGATCAAGTAGATCTAAGCCGTCCATTGAGGAGGAGGGCAAGTATAAATACCCCTCATGGCTGGCTCATTTGTATCATCGAAAGCTTGAGAGCAATAAAGCCTTTATACAAGTTTCTCCACTATCGGTGTCCTAGTTTCCGCAAGAGTTAGGCTGACTAGCATAGTTTGAGTGAGTGTTGCTAGTGCCGCACGGGTTCGAGAATAAGTCCGTGACAACACCCACATGAACTAGTAAAAAAATTCCAAAGTCCCACCCTAAACTTGTAAAAAAGGTTCAAGTTTTACTTCTATTATTTACGGTTGAACACTAGCTAGGTTACTCACGTTGCTCGTTGGGTGTCAACTCGCATCTGGTATATATAAAAAGTAAAAGTGAAAATATTTCTCTGAACTCGTTTTAGTTGTTCAATTTACGTACCCTCTCAATTTAAGGAAATTGTCAATATAAGAATACTTTACACTAAAAAATAGAATAAAATAAAAATAAACAATAATAAAGACAAATTATAATTATATACACTAAACGTATAGAACAAATGTTTATGTTTTAAGGTTAACTCAAAATATTAATAAAAAGTATTAAAGTATACGGAGTACTTTATACTAGTATATATGTATCTTTTTACATTGATTTTTTACATTCAAGTTTTCATTTTATACGAAGTACCTTTGATATTCTACATCATACTTGTTTTATATTTATATTTTAATTTTTTTATGTATTACGTTTGGTATTTTAAAACCTCCAAAATGCTGAATATGAAAACATAAAGTATAACCTCTTAAGTTAAAGATATAAAAGGATTGATAAAACTAAATATATAAAATTCAACAAAACACATATTTTATCAAATAAAAAATATAAATAAAATCTTACAAATTATAAATATAAAAACATAGATATAAAGTATGAACATAAAGTTTAAAGTTATGACTTTATATTTTGTTTACATTTATTTAATTTTTTATATTTCATATAATTTAATTTATTTTAGTTTTATGTTTTATTTTTCTGTTTTATTTTAATTTATACTATTTTGACACTTTTTAATAGTTTAGGAGATGAATTGGGTTTAGGGACTTGTTTGAACATTTTATTTCCACGTCTGTAGTTTATGGGTGACGTGACGGGTAACCAGATGGTCACCCATAAAAATGAAATTTGAAACTTTTACCAAATTTAGAGCGGGAATAGGAGTTTTTTTTAATTCAAGGCCCAAATTGAGTAAACATGATAGAGGTACTTGAGCCTATTTGACCCTTTAGTCTAATTTTTCAACATATATAAAAAGAGACCCGGATATTTTTCTTTGATTGGTTTGAGTAGAGTCAGCATTATGTATAATAATATTGATCTTTAATTTGATAAGGGTTAGGATGTTTTTAAATGGATTGAAATTTTCTGATTTGGTCTGATCTAGTCTAGTCTCATCTGTTTAGGTCTAATTGATCTCATTTGAAAATTGAAATGGCGTATGATCTGGTCAATGTTTGTTTTATATGAAGTATATATTTTACAATTGTTAAAGCCCGGTATGCCTTGTCGAATATGTTTAAATGTGGTATTGTTTAATTTAATCTGATCTGAGACTGAAATGAATCCAATTAAAAATAGGAATATTATCAATTCAGGATCCGAAAGATAGATAAATTATCAATCCGGGATCTGAAAGATGAAATGTATCGATATAGGACCCGAATGATGGAAAACTATCAATTTGGGACCCGAATGATTGGAAATTATCAATCTATGACCTAAGTTGTCATGAACTTTATTATTTTTTAAAAAAATAAACATTGTATTACTTTTATTAAATTAAACTAATAAACTTTTGTGAAGAAAAGTTTATCAAAAACTAGCATTTGAATTAACGAAAAAAATGAAACAAATCAAAACCTATGAAATGTTAGGTCCTAGATTGATTGGAGAACTATACCGATACATTTCACCTTTGGGTCCTGGATTGATAGTTTATCTATCTTTCGGAGTTTCGGGTCTTGAATTGAGTCTGGTAGTTTAGATTAGATGATGGATTTGGTCTGTTTTAGGTTTAAGTCCTACGTACCTCAATTTTGGCATAATTGATGCGGTAGGATTCCCCTTTGGCTACCAACTTTTTGTCCATTTCAGCATATGCGTCTAGAAAGGCTGTGTAGACTATTTTCATATATTCTGGCAATTCGTTTACATGACTCTCATCTAATCTGCAAGCAAATATAAACCGAAGTTGGTTTACTATATCCCTGTAGATGAACATTATCTATACGTACGTGTCTGTCAGTGTGTATCTTCAAGTGATTAAAAAAATTAGGTAAAACGTCCAAATAGATTCTTCTACATTCTCAAATCCATCAGCTAAATACGCTTACTTTGACAAAACAATCAACCACTTTAATTTACTTGTTTTTAGTCGGGAGAATTTGACTTTGCACTCATTTTTTGAATGACATATATTGGAATTTGCATCCAACTTTCAACTCTATTTAGTATATAATCAATTGGCTTTACACCGTACCCCATTTGTTTGTAATTGTTTGGCTATGAGATGCAAACATTAATGATTCTAAACATGAGGTGCCAACTCCAATATAGTCCAAAAATGGGGTGTACCGTCAAATTTCTCCTTCTTAGCCATAGCTTCTATAGTAGTTGATCACTTTTTTTGAATATTTGGGAAGTTGCAAAGAATATCAAAAAAGATGTAAAAAATAAAATGGTGAAAAACTATTTTTTGTATCTTGGTATTATTTTGATATTCTACATTTGAATAAAAATATTTTCACTTGTATGTTTTGTACATTTTTTTTAATATTTTCACTTTTTTTATTATTTATTTATTATTCTTGGATTTTATATTTTATTTCTATTTTTTATTTTTTTACTAATATATAGTTTTAAATATTTTTAAATATGACTTCTTACAATCTTAACAATTTTCTTATTCTTTTTTAAAAGTCTTCTTTTAAAAGGTCAAAAACAAGTTAAGTGATTAGATTGTAAAGTAAGGATGTTTTCAATTGACTAAAATTTTCTGGTCTGATCTGGTCTGGTCTGTTTTAGTTTGGTTTGGTCTGGTCGGGTCTGTTTTGGTTTGATCTGATAAATGTCCTAATCATGTGTGATCAGATCATGTGTGATCTAATCTAATCTGGTCTGGAACAGAAACAGTTCAATTGAAAATGTCCTAAGCATGCTTATATGATTCTCATAAAGTAGGAGCCCAAGCAATGAATTTGAAAGTAGTAGTGTTTATTTGACTTTTCCCAAAAATTGAGACTTATTCATGATTAAACGAACCGTTGGAAAGCATGTGTGAATAACCGGAGCTCTTGAGGAGTTCCATAAACATCATATATGTCATCGAGGATTGAAGTCAGAGATATTATTTTAAGAAAAAAGTCTCTTGCAAAACCATATTGCGGTTCAAAGTACACTCCCAATGTCCACAAATAGCACTCTACCATTCTATCTCTAGCGAATGGCAGTTTTTCTGCTGCATCTAATTCTTTCCACCACCTGTATACAACGTAACAATGTATCAAACACGCAAAGTTATTGCGTCAAATCATTCGCTAAATTAATCGAGTCAGCAACATTAGTTTCCCGTACTAATATATGATCATGCATAATACTTTAGAGTCAAAATTGAATCACATATTTTTCATATTTCCACTAGACATAGCTCATCTATTTATTTCTACTTATTTGATACTTATAGTGTATATTATATTATTTCTACTTATTTATTTCTACTTATTTTTTATATTTCCACTAGACATAGCTCGTGTATTTATTTCTACTTATTTGATATATTATATTGTATATTATATTGATTAAAAGAGACATAAAAATTGCAAATCATACACATAAAAGAATAAATTAGAAATGATCACATATAAAACATGATAAAACAATACTCCCTAATAGAAGGGAGTAGCTAATAAGTAAATTTTTGGATAATCAAAAGTATTTTTTAAAGATGAAACATTGTAAAAAACTAAAATTAAAAAACCGGTCCAATACCGGTCCAGACCGGAAAAACTGGAATAATCCGGTCCAGCTGGTCACGGACCGGAATTATATAGGTTCGGTCTACGGTCCAGTTTTTTTTTTGATAATTCTGGTTCTGGTCCGGTCCGATCTGATCTTGGACCTGTGCTCAGCCCTAATCAAAGTTTCATAAATGATAAATTTTTAAAGGGCAGAGGGAGTAACATTTTAGGATGTTCTTACTTGGACTGTATCAATCTCACACCAGACCTGACCAAACTTAAACAGATCAGACTAGATTAGATTAGACCAGATCATACCAGACCAGATCAAACCTTCATAGTTATAAAATACACACAGACCAAACATTTATCAAACCAGACCAGACCAATCAGACCAGAATAGACTCAAACAGACCAGATCAGACCAGACCAGCAAATTTGAGTTAAAGTAAAACATCCTTATTTTATACGGCTCAAGATTGATTACCTACCTTGTAAGGCTGCCTAGCTCCTTCTGATGCTGTCTTTGCAACAAGTTGAAATCAAGTTTTGCAAATTCCAACAGGACAGCATCATGCGATTCATCAAGTTGGTAAATGGATATGTATTTTCTTGCATCTATCCTGGCTAATCTTTTACAGATGGGCTGTTCTAGTGCTTCACTAACTTGTGGTGATCTGAATGTAGGGTTTGTAAATAGGGTTTGTAGACGAGTAGTGGTAAATATGAGTGCTTCATCCAAAATCTTATCACCGTGAACTCTTACATGTGACGCCTCATACAAGCTTAACATTGCATCCACATTGTTGATCATGGATTCCTTGAATTTGCCATCACTTTCCAAAAAATATTCAAAAGCACCTATATAATATTCACAACCGATATTAATTCAGAATTCATATGACAATTTGAGTCCGTACCCCATAATTATTTCCCTTTTAAACCGTTACATTTCCTGTTTTAAACTGCTCGGATTCGCAAGCCAAATAAAAAACATATATACCCTCATTTTATTATTCATGATGTAAGGGAGTGACTGGGCATGGTGTTAGCATTTATAGTTATTTTATTGTATTTATTTTGCTTGTTGTCTTTTGTCTCGCACCAAAACTAGTGCGTTTGGGAGTTGGGTTTTGGAGGGGAGGGGAAGGTTAATGTGGACTTATGACCATCTTTTTCATGTTTGGGAGTTTAAAAAATTGGAGGGGATGGTTTTAGAGGGTTTTTGTAACCCTTCAAAACCCTCCAAATGCTTAATTTTTAAGTTCCTCCAATTTGGAGGGTTTTGGAGGATAATTAACAAGATGGTAATTTAAGCTAAATTAAAAATGAATATCAGCTCAATGATTTGAATTCGTCATATCTGTAGGTGATTTTAATTATAACTTTCAAAAACCCTCTTATTCCAATTTTATTACTCCCAAATACAAAGAAGGGCTTACTCACACACCCCTCCCTTTCCCCTCCAACAACATACTTCCAAAGTCTTCCCCTTCCCTCCAAACTCCCAAACATACCCTTAGGGTGTGTTTGGGAGTTGAGTTTTGGAGGGGAGGAGAAGGTTAATGGGGGTTTATAATCCTCCTTTTCATGTTTGGGAGTAAAAAAATTTGGAGGGGGTGGTTTTGGAGGGCTTTTGTAACCCTTCAAAACCCTCCAAATGCTTGATTTTTAAGTTCCCCCAATTTGGAGGATTTTGAAGGATAATTAACAAGATGATAATTTAAGCTAAATTAGAAATGAATATCAGCTCAATAATTTGAATTCGTCATATCTCAAAGTGATTTTAATTGTAATTCCTTCAAAAACCTTCTCCTTCCAATTTTATTACTCCCAAATACAAAGAAGAGTTTCCTCACCCTCCCCTCCCTTTCCCCTCAACCAACATACCTCCAAAGTCTTTCCCTTCCCTTCCCTTCAAACTCTCAAACATACCCTTAGGTGCTTTCCCTTCCTTTGTACCCTATAAATAGGGACTTCCACTCTCTCTTCTTTTAAGCTCACATTTTATGGTCTAATATTTATTCCATTAAATATCTATGTATGATTATATATATATAGGGGTAAGATCACATACAAACCATGCTTAACTTAATAACCTACAAACTCAATAATATGCAACACTTTGAGCTTCAATATGCAGTAAAATAATGTAAAGATGCACTCTTTGAATTTCAATATGCAATACAAATAATGTAAATACGAAACTGCTATTTTATGGCGTGAATATTATGTAACACTTTGAACTTCAATGTGCAATACAAATAATGTAAAGATGATTTGAATGGGGGGACCAGTTTGTATGTGATCTCATCCATGCATCTTTACATTATTTTTACTGCATATTGAAGTTTAAAGTGATGCATATTAATGAGTTTGTAGGTTAGTATTTTAAGCATGGTTTGTATTTGATCTCTTATCTATATATATATATATATATATATATATATATATATATATATATATATATATATATATATATATATATATATATATATAGTTCAAATGAAAAGTGGTCTTCCCGTGCAAAGTGCAAAGTTTTCACTTTTTCATGTTACGCTTGCACTTTTTGTTGTTTGCATTCCACTTTTTGGCCATTTTGATTTTGGCCAAATTCGGCCAAAATGACGGTGGCATTTTTGTAAATAAACCAATTTTTTTGAGCTATCGCGAAAAAGTGAAACGAAAGCAAGAAAAAGTGCAAGCGAAACATGAAAAAGTGTAAACTTTTCACTTTGCACGTTAAGACCTCTTTTTATTTGAACCATCCCCTATATATGTGTGTGTGTGTGTGTGTGTGTGTCATGTAACACATGGTACTTAGGAATGAATGAAAAACTTTTTTGATTAGTTATTTTTTTGTTAATTTTCCGGTCTTGGTCTAAATTGAAAAAGATTAGGACCAAGGCTTGTCCCATATCATTAATTCATAATTCGAAACGTTATTACTAATTGGATTGAGATCGGGATAACTTTAATCTAAGACTGTGCCCGCCCCAACTCCTTTCACGGCATAAACTACGACCGTGCATTAACTCCTTGTATGTCAATATATTGTACCATTAACTTACGAATACTTTAGCACGCATTTCTCCCCTTTTAAATATTTCAACATGTACATAACTCAAACAAATTAAGAATTATTATTGGGATCCATTCTTAATTCGAGAAGTTTTGGAAAATTCTAAAGCTTTCTAGAGGAATGTGGAATTTTCTAGAATGTTTTGGAGAACTCAAGAGAAGTGTAGAAGCTTTTGGAAGAATGTGGAACCCTTTCGAATATTTTATAAATGTGCAGAACCTTCCAGAATCTTATAGAAGAAGAGTATGGAAAAATATGGATATGAGTAGAGACTCCTAGAGTGTACGTGTGGAGCATTCTGGAGAATCTATCTCCAATGTTGGATACAAACAATCATCAACATTCATGTAAGGCTGATAGATCTTCCAACTCAGGTCTCCGGCCACACGAACTCAAAGGTTCTGAAACATCTCACAACCACCACAAAAGAACCTACCGGACTGGGAACCACCACCAAGGTACCAAAACCCAAACCCCAAACCCAGCTACCCTCTCAAACCTCACCCTAGAATTCTCAGAGCGCGCGCACACACACACACACGAAGGAGGTGAAGAGAGGAGCGGAAGAAGGAGAAAGGCTAGAGAGAAGCCAGACCCTCTCTCTCTAAATAGAAGGCTCTAGAACTAGGGTTACACATATGCGGCTCACTCTTCCCGGCAGAGAGACAGGTCAAAGATTAAATAGGCGGGTCATGGAAAGCCCAACAATGTAAGTAGGTCACAAAGAGTAAAGGGGCCGAACACAAGGGATGGATCAAGCAAGTAGGTAAATGGGCTGGGTGGTAACCAAATGATAAAGGTCCAAGTCCCGGGTAAATTGGAGAAGAAGGCCAAGGCCCATAAAGCCAATACCTCTCACATTCTCCACCCTATTGGTCCTATGTGGTGTAGAGCAAAAATGCGGCATGGAAAAGACTCATCATCGCTGGTTGCCCAAGGCATCCAAGGATATCTTAGGCCAACAATTGGAGGTATCCAAAAGACACTCCCTGGGTTACACAGGACCCAGAAACACAAATTGAAAAGTATGATGCACACTTTCCTGATCCAGAAGGATCAAAGGGACAAACCGGAAGCCCAGAGAACACCATGTTCTCAGAGCAAAGTCCAGAAGTGCAAACAACACTCCATGGACCTAACCACCTGCAAAAACAAACAATATCTAACCACAATCCAGATTTAATGTTCATTTACAAGAAAGTAACTTCTCAACAGAGAGACACTTTGTCCCCATATCAGCAAGGTTGAACTCTGATGGTATCTTCTCCAGCATGATATTAATAATGTAATAATTAGGGATTACTTTGTAATATTCCATAACTCTGTATTATTATAAATACAAGGCTAAGGCACCCAATAGGGCAACCATTATTCTCCCAATTATAATTTCGTATATGGTATCAGTCGCCTAGGTTATTTGTTTCCGTCTCTCACACATGGCCGACGCCACCAGCAACGTCGCCTCCCAACCGGCGCCCTCCACACAGGTGCGGCCACAATTCTCTTGCCTTCCATTCTCTCAGGCGCCCATTGTCCGGGTGCAGCCCTCGACCAGTGTCGTTCCACAGATGTCTGGCACGACCTTCTCCCTTCACTCCGGTTCGAGTAGTGCGACTCCATCCCCAGGACAGTCGCGTATGACGGACGAATCACAGCCGACATGGTCTCCCCTTGCTTTATCTCTCCGTCAACGGCTTGGTGACTCACATCACGTTGATCAATATCGCTTGTTTGGCATGCCGGCCCCGTTCACATGGACACCGACGGCAACCCTACCTCCGCCGCCAATCCTGACCTCAGTCCCTGACATCGGTCCCTCCTCGCTGCCATACGCTGGTCCGACCTTCATCACACAGACAGCTCCTCCATCTCTGCCGCATGTGTCCATCTCGGTTGACTCGGGTAATGTTCCCCCTACAACTTTTTTATCTACTTTAGCATCACAATTGGCGTTCTCTACGCCAAATGTGACCAATAATGTTACCACCCGATTGTCCGCTGTTGAGGATTGCTTACCATGGTGAACCCAATTTGAGTCTTTCCTCGTATCCCAAAGCCTTCTTGGGATAGTGGACGGATCAATTTGGGTCTCAACCACCATGGATCCAGATTATCATCATTGGTTGAAGATAGACCAAACGGTTAGGTCTTGGATTTTTGCTACTCTTGCTAGAGATATTTTGATGGAGGTATATGATCTAAAATTTTCTCATCTCATTTGGGCACGTCTTGACACCCGTTTTATGTCTGCCTGTTTTGCTCGGTCTGTTGAACTTAAACGTTCGTTGTCCCATATTAAAAAGAAAGAGTCACAAAACATGGATCAATATTTGCTGGAAATTAAACTGATGGTTGATGCACTTGCTATGATTAATTCTCCTGTTAGTAATCGTGAGTTGAAGGAATATACTATATTGGGTTTGGGCCATGAATATGAATCCCTTATCAACACCATTTCATATTTTCGTGGGAATGCTACACTTGAGTCTCTTCGGCCCATTCTTCAAGCGCAGGAGCAAAGGAATGCTACCGTTTCGTCCCAAGATGCTTCCACGGTGCACCAGGCTTTGGCAACGGCTCCGGCACCACAGGGCCGAGGGTCTGCTCCTCGTGGATATGGTGCAGGGGCACCTCGAGGACACGGTGGTTGAGGCAACCAAGGGTGACGACCTCGGGGTGGTCGTGGACGCGGCGGCCGATGCTATCATCCGCAGTATCAGCAATTCTTTGGGGGTTATCTGTTATATGGGGCACCCTACGGGCAGCCGGCTCCCCCACGTGGACCTCCATATTCTAGCAGCACAGGTTCGGTACTTGGTAATGTTAGTTCTGGTTATGGTTTTACTAATCACTTTCCTACTTGTGTTACTCGTAATGTTAGTGCAGGTTTTCCTTCTGCTGAGAAATCCTATCCATCTTCTGCTCCACCTGTTGTCTGTCAGCTGTGTTTCTCTCCAGGTCATTCCGCACTTAACTGCTCCCGCTTTACTACTCAAAATACTTCTGCTCTTGCGTCTCTTCCCTCTGGTGAGACGCGTGATTCGGTCTGGTATCCTGATTCTGGGGCTTCCACACACATGACTCCTCATGAAGGTATTTTATCTTCTAAATTTCCTTATACTGGCCCGAATCAAGTATGTGTTGCTAATGGTACAAATATACCTATTTCTAATATTGGTCACGTTAAATTAATCACATCTAACCGCCCTCTACATCTAAAAACCTGTTTATCATGTCCCACACATTAAATACAATTTACTTTCTATACAAAGTAATCCCTAATTATTACATTATTAGAGAAATTATATTTTCCTATATGGTATCAGTCGCCTAGGTTATTTTTTAACGTCTCTCACCCATGGCCCAAAATAAAAATGCCAATATCTGCCAGAAGTGATCTGATGAAGAGTGCATCCTGAACAATATAAGCAATGGCCATGTATTCGGCCTCAGTAGAGGATTTGGACACTGTGGGCTGTTTCTTGGAGCGCCATGAAATCAAATTGGAGCCCAGAAACACCGCATAGCACGTAGTAGATCGTGAGCTTTCTTGACATCCTGCCCAATCTGCATCAGAGTAGGTCGTAACCATAGAGATATTTTTATCAGCCCGTAACCAAACACCATGAGTGCTCGTGCCCTGCAAATACCGGTAAATCCTCTTAACGGCCAAAAGGTGAGTTGTACGTGGAGCATGCATAAACTGGGACACAAGGTGTATAGCATAAGTAATATTATGTCTAGTAATGGTGAGATACTGAAGAGCACCTACCATACTACGATACTCAATAATGTCAGATAAAAGTTCCCCATTTGTGAGAGACAAAGTAGTGCGTGAAGGTAGGGGGTACGAACAGGCTTTACTGTATGAAGGTGAAAATGACGTAAGAGATCAGATATATATTTAGCCTGAGATAAGAACAAACCCGTAGGTGTGCGTTTAGCCTGAATACCCAAAAAATAATGAACCTCCCCCAAATCCTTCATCGCAAATTGATGAGAGAGTGTGGTTATAACAGAGGAAACAAATGAAGCAGAAGAGTCGGTAATAAGAATATCATCTACATATAAAAGAATATACACCACCTGAGATGCAGTACGATAAGTGAACATGGAGGAGTCAGACGTGCTATGTGTAAAACCACGACTCAACAAAAAACCACTGAAACGATGAAACCAAGCTCTTGGAGCTTGTTTCAAGCCATAAAGAGCCTTACGAAGACGACACACATGATTAGGATAGGAAGGATGAACAAAGCTCTGAGGTTGGTGCATATACACCTCCTCAGTCAAAACACCATGCAAAAATGCATTTTTCACATATAACTGATGAACAGACCAGCCCAAAGAAGTGGCTACAGATAAAACAAGACGAACCGTAGTCGGTTTAACAACTGGACTAAAAGTTTCAGTAAAGTCAACACCAGTCTGTTCGTTAAAACCTTGAGCAACTAAACGGGCTTTGTGCCACTCAACAGACCCATCAGAAAAATATTTTGTCTTATAAATCCACTTACAACCAACCACATTTTTAGTAGGGTCCCAAGGTACCAAATCCCAAGTCTTATTTTTAATCAAAGCATTAAATTCATCCACCATGGCAGCCCACAAAATAAAACGTTTATTTGCCTGTGTAAAACATGTAGGATCATCCGGGGGAGATAAAGCACTTAAAGTAAAAATATTTTTGGGTTTAAAAATACCATCCTTGGCGCGAGTACGCATTGGATGAATATTGATGGGTGGTGGAGGGAGGGAGAGAGCTGCTGGGGATGATGGTGGAGACGGAGAGCTGCGGTCACTGGTTTGGGAGGGAGGTGGGGTGGCAGTGCGGAGTGCAGGGTTGCTGCGGTCACTGGTTTGGGAGGGTTGGTTAGTGGTCATCGGGGAGGTAGGCCTGGTCGATGGGGAACTGGGTGTGGTGGCAGACGGTGTATGATGTGGGGAGTGCGGTGTTGAGGGTAGTGGGAGGGCTGGTTGGACAGCGGTTGTCGTCGGGTGATCGGAGACCGACGAGGAAAGCCAAGCTGAGGGCAAGGTAGATGGGGCAGAAGAAGAAGTAGTCACCAAGGAGGGATAAGGAAACATATTTTCATGGAAAAGAACATCCCGTCTAACATACACCCGGCCCGTGGAAGGAGAGAGGCATCTATACCCTTTATATCGAGGCGCATATCCAAGAAAGACACAGTGCGTAGAACGAGGTGAGAGCTTGTTGTTGGAGGCAGCAATAAAATTAGGAAAACAAGAACATCCAATCATGAGTAAAAACAGGAACTAGTAATTAATTTATTCTGCCCAAGAGTACAAAGAAATCTATCACCACAATGTCCTAGACGCTTGTACAAAGAACTCCATCACCACAGTGACCGCAGATCTCCGTCTCCACCATCACCCAAGAGTACAAAAATATTTTAACTTTAAGTGCTTTATCTCCTCCGGATGATCCTACATGTTTAACACAGGCAAATAAAAGTTTTATTTGGCGGGCTGCCATGGCGGATGAATTTAATGCTTTGATTAATAATAAGACTTGGGACTTGGTGCCTTGAGACCCTACTAAAAATGTGGTTGGTTGTAAGTGGATTTATAAGACAAAATATCTTTCTGATGGGTCTGTTGAGCGGCATAAAGCCCGTTTAGTTGCTCAAGGTTTTAATCAACAGGCTGGTGTTGACTTTACTGAAACTTTTAGTCTTGTTGTTAAACCGACTACGGTTCGTCTTGTTTTATCTGTAGCCACTTCTTTGGGCTGGTCTGTTCGTCAGTTAGATGTGAAAAATGCATTTTTGCATGGTGTTTTGACTGAGGAGGTGTATATGCGCCAACCTCAGGGCTTTGTTCATCCTTCCTATCCTAATCATGTGTGTCGTCTTCGTAAGGCTCTTTATGGCTTGAAACAAGCTCCAAGAACTTGGTTTCATCGTTTCAGTGGTTTTTTGTTGAGTCGTGGTTTTACACAGAGCAAGTCTGACTCCTCCATGTTCACTTATCGTACTGCGTCTCAGGTGATGTATATTCTTTTATATGTAGATGATATTCTTATTATCGGCTCTTTTGCTTCATTTGTTTCCTCTGTTATAACCACACTCTCTCGTCAATTTGCGATGAAGGATTTGGGGGAGGTTCATTATTTTTCAGGTATTCAGGCTAAAGGCACACCTACGGGTTTGTTCTTATCTCAGGCTAAATATATATCTGATCTCTTACGTCGTTTTCACCTTCATACAGTAAAGCCTGTTCGTACCTCCCTACCTTCACGCACTACTTTGTCTCTCACAAATGGGGAACTTTTATCTGACATTACTGAGTATCGTAGTATGGTAGGTGCTCTAGAGTATCTCACCCTTACTAGACCTGATATCATCTTAATGTGATATTAAGAGGATTTACAGGTATTTGCAATGCATGAGCACTCATGGTCTTTGGTTACGGGCTGATAAAAATATCTCTGTGGTTACGGCCTACGCTTATGCAGATTGGGCAGGATGTCCAGACAGCTCACGTTCTACTACGGGTTATGCGGTGTTTCTGGGCTCCAATTTGATTTCATGGCGCTCCAAGAAACAGCCCACACTGTCCAAATCCTCTACTGAGGACGAATACAGGGCCATTGCTTATACCGTTCAGGATACACTCTTCATCAGATCACTTCTGGCAGATACGGGCATTTTTATTTCGGCCCCAGTACAGCTTCTTTGTGATAATGTCTCAGCTTCTTACTTGGCGGTTAATCCCATTCAGCATGACAGGAGTAAACACATTAAGATTGACTATCATTTTGTTCGTGAACGAGTAACACATGGAGATCTTGTGGTGAAGCATATTCCTACCCAGTTACAGTTGGCGGATATCTTCACCAAGAACTTGTCCAGTCAGTGTTTTGAGTTTTTACATTCCAATTTGCACGTGATTTCCCCTGCACAAATTGGGGGGGTGTAATAATGTAATAATTAGGGATTGCTTTGTAATATTCCATAACTCTGTTTTATTATAAATACAAGGCTAAGACACCCAATAGGGCAAGCCATTATTCTCCCAATTATATTTTCGTATAGATATCACCTGTCTCCACAATTTCTCGAATGACATGGAACCTGACATCAATGTGCTTGGTCCTGTCATGAAACACAGGGTTCTTGCAAAGCTGTATGGCAGAGTGACTGTCTGAGAAAACTGTAGATCTTTGTTTAAGAAAACCTAAATCACTGACAAGCCTTTTAAGCCAAATAGCCTCCTTAAAGGCTTCAGTGGCAGCAACATACTCAGACTCAGTAGTAGACAAGGCAACAATGGGTTGCAACTTGGACTTCCAACTAATTATACAGGATCCACACAAAGTAAACACATTATCAAAACTCTAGGCCATTATCAGTTCTAAGGCTTTAACCTTAAGATGAGACTGGGTTTCAACTAGGGTTTTCCACTCCCTAAACTTCTCTACAACATCAGACTTATTCTGTAAGAGACAAACCCAAACTTTCCTAGAGAAATCATCTATAATAGAAATCATCTAGCAACTTGATAATTATGCAAATCAGGTATATCATGTTCCATAAAATCATGTTGTTCAGAATTATCATGTAAATCAGAATCATGAGAAGACTCCACCCCACTAGTAGGGGTGGTACCATAGAGGTTAGCATCAGAATCATTAACATTGTTAAACAATGGAATGGTAGCAGCGGGAGTAGACTCCACCTCAGACTGAACACTCTCAGAACTTAGTTTTGTGGTCGGACTAGACAGACAGGGAAATTCATATTCATTGAAGATTACATCCCTACTGATCACTACCTTAAAACCCACCTGGTTTCTATCTCACAGCCTATAACCTTTTACCCCCTCAGGATACCCTAGAAAGACACACTTCTTAGACATAGGATCTAGCTTATCCAGCTGCTGATGAACATAGGCGGTACAATCAAACACTCTAAGGTTGGACAAGTTTAGGGGCTTTCCAGAGTAAACTGACTCGGGGCACTTTCCTCCTTGAGGAACGGTGGGGGACCTATTTACCAAATAGGCAACAGTGTTAACTGCTTCACCCCAGAATTGCTGAGACAGACCAGAGGTGGCAAGGAGACTTCTTACTTTATTAAGCAAGGTTATATTCATACGCTCAGCTACACCATTCTGCTGGGGAGTATAGGGCACATTATTGTGCCTTTTTATTCCCCAGTCAACACACAATAGATTCATCTCCTTATTACAGAACTCTAGGCCATTATCAGTTCTAAGGGCTTTAATCTTAAGATCAGACTGGGTTTCAACTAGGGTTTTCCACTCCCTAAACTTCTCTACAACATCAGACTTATTCTGTAAGAGACAAACCCAAACTGTCCTAGAGAAATCATCTATAATAGACATGAAATATCTCTTACCACCATGGGTAGAGATACTGGCAGGGCCCCAGACATCAGCATGAACATACTCTAAGGCAGAGGTACACTTGGACAAGTTTGGATAGAAGGAACTAGGGAAACTGACCCTATGCTACTTACCAAGCACACATGCTTCACAGAAAGGCACAGAAGACACACAATCTTTATCAAAATAACCAGATTTGTGCATGATTTCTAGACCCTTATTACTCATGTGACCTAACCTATTATGCCACAACACAGAGCTATTAGGACAAACAGCATTAGCAGAATTAGAGAATGGAACAGCATGGCACACATACAACTTATTCACCTTCAAAGATTTGAACATAACCAAGGAATTTTTCAAAACCTACATGTAACCATTACCACATTTTCCCTCTAACCCACTATCCTCAAAATCAGCAACTGAAAACAGATTATGACACAGATCTGGAATATGCCTCACATTTTTCACAGTGTACACAGTCCCCTTATCAAACTTCAAACATATGCTCCCCATCCCATGCACTTTGCATTTCTTACTACCAGCTAGAGACACATATCCATCATCACAAAGATCATAGGAAGAAAATAAGGATTTAAAAGGAGTCATATGATAAGTGCAATCAGAGTCAATAAGGCATTCATTTTCAGTTAAGCCACTTAGCACAGAGTTTGCAAAGTCATAGACCATAAACACATCATCATGTATATCATTAGAGACAAAAGAGTTGTCCTGGTCAGACTTTTTAGGACTGGAACGGTCCTATATGAAATGGTCAGACTTACCACAATTGTAACAGACCCTTTTCATAGACTTACCTCTCTTCTTACTAGGCTTCTGACTATTCTTATATTGATTTTCCTTCTTGGAGTTCTTAGATCTATTCTTAGACCTACCCCTCACAAACAAGGCCTCACCAGAATCACCAGACTGATTGCAATGATCCCTATTTTGTTTCAAATCAAGTTCTCTACTTTTAAGCCATTAACCACAATACCTAAAGTAACATCATCTCTACCATACTTGATGGCAGATTTGACATCACTATAAGAATCAGGAATATCATTGAGCAAAATAATTGGGGTGTAGTCATCAATATGCTTATCACCAGCCTGTTTGATGTTTTAAACAAGTTTGTTAAAAATATCCAAATTTTCATCTATATCCTAAGTAAGGTCAAGCCTGAACCGGAAAAATTTTCAAGTAAAAATAGTTTGCCTGGTAAGGAGGTATCAGTATACAGACTATCAAGTTTTTCCCACAAATCTTTTGCAGAGTCAAGTATACCAACTTTCCTTAACACAGAGTCAGAAAGATTTAAGTAAATTGTTGAACAGTCAGTTTCATTCATTTGAAGTTGTTTAGCCTCATTTTCAGTTTCTAAAAACTTGCCAGTGACAGCTCTAAAAACTTTTTGTTGAATTAAAACACATTTAATCTTTTGCTTCCAGATATCAAAATCGGTTTTCCCATTAAAGGTCAACATCCCATATCAAACTTTGTGAAGCATATTCCTACCCAGTTACAGTTGGCGGATATCTTCACCGAGAACTTATCTAGTCAGCGTTTTGAGTTTTTACGTTCCAATTTGCACGTCATTTCCCCTGCACAAATTGAGGGGTTGTAATAATGTAATAATTAGGGATTGCTTTGTAATATTCCATAACTCTGTTTTATTATAAATACAATGCTAAGGCACCCAATAGGGCAAGCCATTATTCTCCCAATTATATTTTCGTATAGATATCACCTGCCTCCACAATTTCTCGAATGACATGGAACCTGACATCAATGTGCTTGGTCCTGTCATGAAACACAGGGTTCTTGCAAAGCTGTATGGCAGACTGACTGTCTGAGAAAACTGTAAGTCTTTGTTTAAGAAAACCTGAATCACTGACAAGCCTTTTAAGCCAAATAGCTTCCTTAAAGGCTTCAGTGGCAGCAACATACTCAGACTCAGTAGTGCACAAGGCAATAATGGGTTGCAACTGGGACTTTCAACTAATACAGGTTCCATACAAAGTAAACACATAAGAAGTGGATTTCCTATTATCCCTATCATTAGCATAGTTAGAATGCACATATCCACGTAACACAGTACCATCAGAACACTTAGCAAAAAACAAACCATGATTCACAGTTGATTTAAGGTATCTCAAAAGCCATTTCAGAGCATTCCAGTGAGGCATACCAGGATTTGACATATATTGACTCAAGCAACTTATAGAATAAGCAATGTGAGGCCTAGTACTGACCATAAGATACATAACAGATCCTATAGCACTGGAATAAGGAACATATTTCATATCACTTATTTCAGAATCAGTCTTGAGGGACTGATCCTTACATAGCACAAAATGTGATGCTAAAGGAACATTCACATGGGAAGCAGATTGCATGTTGAATTTACTCAAAACCTTCTCTACATAAGAAACTTGGTTTAACAAAAGAGTAGACATGCTTCTATCCCTATTGATATTGATGCCTAGGATCATCTTAGCATCCCATAGGTTTTTCATTGAAAAGTTTTCACAGAGACACTTTTGCACATGAACAATGGAATCAAGATTAGGATTGATAATTAACATATCATCCACATAAAGTGATAAGAATACTGGCACAGATGAGGTATCCTTATAATATGAGCAATGATCACAAGCAGACTTAACAAATTTCATAGATTTCATGCATTGATCAAACTTAATATTCCATTGCCTAGGAGACTGCTTGAGACCATATAAAGCCTTCCTTAGCAAACACACATAATCACTTTTCTTGGGATCCACAAACCCCTCAGGTTGGGTCATATAGATCTTTTTATCAAGATCACCATGTAGAAAAGCAGTGGTCACACCCATTTGTTTCATTTCCCAATTAAAGTGAGCAACTAAAGCAAGCATGATCCTAACAGTAGTAAACTTAACCACAGGAGAAAAAATTTCAGCATAATCTACCCCCTCTTTTTGAGTAAACTCCTTAGCCACTAACCTAGCCTTAAATCTCACACTTTGAGGTTCTTCCTTGAACTTAAAGAACCACTTTCATTCAACAACAGAACAATTGGGAGGTCTAGGGACCAATGTCCAAATTTTGTTAAGTCTAAGAGACTCCATCTTACTATTCATGGCATCAAGCTACTTCTGGGACTCCTTAGAAGTAAGGGCTTCCTTATGGGTTTTGGGCTCATTTAACTCAAGGGTCTCAAACACAGAGTAAGCAAATCTGGAGGTATCATGCACATGAAAAGCATAATCAGACATAGAATCAAACACCTTCTTAAGAGTCCTTCTACTCCTATCTCTAACAACTTGATAGTTATGCAAATCAGGTATATCATGCTCCATAGAATCATGTTGTTCAGAATTATCATGTAAATCAAAATCATGAGAAGACTCCACCCCACTAGAAGGGGTAGTACCATGCAGGTTAGCATCGGAATCATTAACATTGTTAAACAATGGAATGGTAGCAGCGGGAGTAGACTCCACCTCAGACTGAACACTCTCAGAACTTAGTTTTGTGGTAGGACTAGACAGACAGGGAAATTCATATTCATTGAAGATTACATCCCTACTGATCACTACCTTAAAACCCACCTGGTTTCTATCCCACAGCCTATAACCTTTTACCCCCTCAGGATACCCTAGAAAGACACACTTCTTAGACCTAGGATCTAGCTTATCCAGCTGCTGATGAACATAGGCGGTACAATCAAACACTCTAAGGTTGGACAAGTTTAGGGGCTTTTATTTCCAGAGTAAACTGACTCGGGGCACTTTCCTCCTAGAGGAACAAAGGGGGACCTATTTACCAAATAGGCAGCAGTGTTAACTGCTTCACCCCAGAATTGCTTAGACAGACCAGAGGTGGGAAGGAGACTTTTTACTTTATTAAACAAGGTTCTATTCATATGCTCAGCTACACCATTCTGCTGGGGAGTATAGGGCACAGTATTGTGCCTTTTTATTCCCTAGTCAACACACAATTGATTTATCTCCTTATTACAGAACTCTAGGTCATTATCAGTTCTAAGGGCTTTAATCTTAAGATCAGACTGGGTTTCAACTAGGGTTTTCCACTCCATAAACTTCTCTACAGCATCAGACTTATTCTGTAAGAGACAAAACCAAACTTTCCTAGAGAAATCATCTATAATAGACATGAAATATCTCTTACCACCATGGGTAGAGATACTTGCAGGGCCCCAGACATCAGCATGAACATACTCTAAGGCAGAGGTACACTTAGACAGGTTTGGATAGGAGGAACTAGGGAAAATGACCCTATGCTGCTTACCAAGAACACATGTTTCACAGAAAGGCACAGAAGACACACAATCTTTACCAAAATAACCAGATTTATGCATGATTTCTAGACCCTTATTACTCATGTGACCTAGCCTACTATGCCACAACACAGAGCTATCAGGACAAACAGCATTAGCAGAATCAGAGAATGGAACAGCATGTCACACATACAAATTATTCACCTTCAAAGCTTTGAACATAACCAAGGAATTTTTCAAAACCTTCATCTAACCATTACCCCATTTTCCCTCTAACTCACTATCCTCAAAAGCAGCAACTGAAAACAGATTATGACACAGATCTGGAACATGCTTCACATTTTTCACAGTGTACACTGTCCCATTATCAAACTTCAAACATATGCTCCTCATCCCATGCACTTTGCATTTCTTACTATCAGCTCGAGACACATAGCCATCATCACAAAGATCATAGGAAGAACATAAGGATTTAAAAGGAGTCATATGATAAGTGCAACCAGAGTCAATAAGACATTCATTTTCAGTTAAGCCACTTAGCACAGAGTTTGCAAAGTCATAGACCATAAACACATTATCATGTATATCATTAGAGACAGCAGAGTTGGCCTGGTCAGACTTTTTAGGACTGGGACAGTCCTTTATGAAATGGTCAGACTTACCACAATTGTAACAGACCCTTTTCTTAGACTTACCTCTCTTCTTACTAGGCTTCTGACTATTCTTATATTGATTTTCCTTCTTGGAGTTCTTAGATCTATTCTTAGACCTACCCCTCACAAAAAAGGCCTCACTAGAATCACCAGATTGATTGCCATGACCTCTATTTTGTTTCAAATCAAGTTCTCTACTTTTTAAGCCATTAACCACAATATCTAAAGTAACATCATCTCTACCATACTTGATGGCAGATTTGACATCACTATAAGAATCAGGAATATCATTGAGCAAAATAATTGGGGTGTAGTCATCAATATGCTTGTCACCAGCGTGTTTGATGTTTTGAACAAGTTTTTTAAAAATATCCAAATTTTCATCTATATCCTTCGTAAGGTCAAGCCTGAACCGGAAAAATTTTTCAAGTAAAAATAGTTTGCCTGGTAAGGAGGTATCAGTATACAGACTATCAAGTTTTTCCCACAAATCTTTTGTAGAGTCAAGTATACCAACTTTCCTTAACACGGAGTCAGAAAGATTTAAGTAAATTGTTGAACAGTGAGTTTCATTCATTTCAAGTTGTTTAGCCTCATTTTCAGTTTCTAAAAACTTCCCAGTGACAGCTCTGAAAACTTTTTGTTGAATTAAAAGACATTTAATCTTTTGCTTTCAGATATCAAAATCGGTTTTCCCATTAAAGGTCAACATTCCATATCGATTAGCAGCCATGGCAAAATACACAGAAACCTAAGAGATGCCACACAGACAAATCAAGTGAAAACCCTAGAGTAGGTCAGGTAGCGGACTAGAGGACCACGCAGTTCTGAAGCCACTCTGGTGGCTGGCAGGGTATCCCCTAGCCCTAACACCACGCGCCTTCACTAATCAGAGAGAATCACTTAGGTTATCCATAGATAGACAGACAACTGAGGAACGAGAAACAATACTAAAAAAGAACAAACTCACAGAATACAAAAAGGTGCAAGAACAAAAAAGAAACCAGCCCCAACCCACTACCCCAAACACACAGAGAGACAGTCAAGAACACAAACCAATCACGAATCTGAACATGCAACATGAAGATTAACACATGCAAAGGAGAGATTCGGCCGACATACCTGAGGTGATGGCGGTCGGGATAAAATCAACTCACGACCGCGCGGGGAAAGGGGGAGTAAAGTAAACCAAATCCGGAGGCACCTGATGCACCTAGGGTGTTTCAAGCCAATTTACCTGAGCGGATATCCAGTGGGATTATCCGACTTACCATGCACGAAGAGGAGGGAGCCGATGTCGTCAGAGGTGAGTAGCTGTTGGGTTTCCGGTGGAGCTTTCCGTCGAGAGACGGCGAGAACCAAGCTCTGATACCACTGTAAGGCTGATAGATCTTCCAGCTCAGGTCTCCAGCCACATGAACCCAAAGGTTCTGAAACAACTCACAACCACTACAAAAGAACCTACCGGACCGGGAACCACCACCAAGGTACCAGAACCGCAACCCCAAACCCAGCTACACTCTCAAACCTCACCCTAGAACTTTCAGAGCGCACACACACACGAAGGAGGTGAAGAGAGGAGCGGAAGAAGGAGAAAGGCTAGAGAGAAGATAGACCCTCTCTCTAAACAAAAGGCTCTAGAACTAGGGTTACACATATGCGGCTCACTCTTCCCAGCAGAGAGACAGGTCAAAGATTAAATAGGCGGGTCAGGGAAAGCCCAACAAGGTAAGTAGGTCACAAAGAGTAAAGGGGCCGAACACAAGGGATGGATCTGGTAAGGAGGTAAATGGGCTGGGTGGTAACCAAATGGTAAAGCCCCAAGTGCCGGATAAATTGGAAAAGAAGGCCAAGGCCCATAGGGCCAATACCTCTCACAATTCATTTTGAATGTGGTGTAGTATGCAGGGACGGAGTCAGGATTTAGTTGTTGGAGGGGGGGCAAGAAGCAACAAAAACAATAAACAGAAAATTCTCTAAATAAGACAAAAACAAAAATAAAGTTCATAAATAGGATTATCATTGTTTTATTTTCGCAATAGGACATATTCACTCCTATTTTGGAAAACTTTAATCACATTATTTTTAATAGGAATAAATAAGATCTATTTGGGAAGCAACACAGATTATGTCCTATTTTAATCATATATATGTAATTATTGCATAAGGAATGATTCTATCAAAAGTACCTGACGGGATTCGCCTTCCGACCGGCTAAGTTTGAGGTGCTTCCGGATTGATTTTTTGATGGAATTTTGTGAGAATGTTTTTCATGATGTGCAGATTTTACACCAAATTTCAGTTTAAAATTCAATCGCGAAGTCACTTAAATAAATTATTGAAAAGCAGTGTGCCAAAACATATTTAAAAGATGCAGTGTTTTTTCATTAACCTCCCATTGAATTATAAGTTGAAGTTTGGTGGACATAATCTACTCTTTATCGAAAACATTCTAACAAAATTTCATCAAAAAAATCTACCCGAAAGCATTTCAGCCTCTATGAGATAGTTCTGACCTAATCTTTTCAGATTATTTCATATTTAACATTAGTATTACTAAAAAAATAAAAAAGTTGGGGGGCCTTGCCATACATGTACCTCCGTCCTTGGTAGTATGGATAGGGGTAGGAGGCTTGATAAGTCCCTATCTATCTTCAAGTTTGAATGAGCCACTGTAGAATGAATCAAGTTTGTAAACACATTTATGTAATTCTACAATTCTTTTGTATGATGGAAGAATCTACATATTCAATAATTGTACTGTGTCCTCCCATTATGAGCTTTAATAATATGCTATTACACACACATTGACACATACACATACTAACACACTTACCGGTAGGTGCATGATACGCTTCTTGTCTAAGTAGTCGAAAGCGAAGAGAAATGGCATAAAGATCATCCGCCTCTATGTCCTTGGCGTTAAGGTCATCGTTGACCTCAAATATTTCTTGCAGGATTGCTCTAACCTCCTTTTCGAAATGATAACTCACTCCTAACCGTTGGACGTTGTTAATCAGTTCTAGTTTCTGCAATGAAATGTGGGGATCTTCAACAAGCATGTTCCTCACCTTTTGCTTTAGTTGTTCATGATCTTCTTGCAATTCTCTGGTCTTTTTGTCCTGCATATATACTATAAACTTCAATTCACCTTTCGTTTTCCTTTTACATACCGAAAGGTTTTTTGGAATAGTTTTTAACTTGTACGTAAAGAGTTACTCCCTCCGTTCCTAAATAAACTTCCAACTTTCCTTTTTCGTCCGTTCCAATTAAAACTTCCACTTTCCCTTTTTGGTAAAGAATTTGTGGTTCACAACATTTCTTACACATTTCTCTCTCCTCTGCACAACTCTCCACCACACAATATCCACTATCTTAAACTTTGTGTCAAACCCATTTGGAAGTTAAAATGGGCACGGAGGTAGTATTATTTGTTGAAAATTTACTGAGAAATATGACTCAATTGTACAATAGTATCTTTGATATTATTATTTCAAATGTTGAGAGGATACATTAATATAATATTAAAAAAGATAATTACTACTCGTATAATTTATGTTATAGTAATGATTAAAAAGGTAACTCAAGTTAGAAATAATGTTTGTAATGCTATATTACTATCGGACAAAACTAACAATTTAACATCTGTGTTCTTTAACTGTAAATAAAGTCAGGTAGATATATAACCATTTGTAGAGAAGAAAATGATAGGAAGAAGTCTCCCCAAATGCTGGGATGATAATTGGCAGAACGGCGTGGAGCTTCATGCAACTGTGTTTTTTCATCAAGGCCGGTAAAAAATGGTGGTATATTATTGGCAGCCATTCTTTTGTTGGGGAGAGGACTAGAGGCCAGAGAGAAACCAATTCAGATCAAAAATTAAAAGAAAGACTGAATATATATGTTAAAGATCAGAGAGGGTTTTTCTTACATGCAATCTACTCCTTTGATCAAATTTATAGCACACAGCTAGCCACCACTCTTGATTATTGATCAGCTAGCCACCACTATTGGAAATTAGATTTTTTTGTAGTAAATTGTTGAAAGGAGAATAGTAAATGAAAAACCACGGGAAGTAATACGAGTAGCTAGGAATACTGTGGATCAAGGACAAGTAGGGTATAGTACTAGAGTAGCCTAGTAAGAGCTTCGTTAGTGCGCAGGATGACTTGTCAACTGATGGCTTTCTTTCATACGCATAACTTATGAGAACAATGAGATAAACTTGACTTCTAGGGCTAACCTCAACATTCTCCCGGGAAAGATCAAATTCTCCATCACTTAGTATTTATCATTGGAGTTTAATCCAACTGCGAGAGTTAAATCGACAGAAGAAGATAAAAATATGGCAGCGTAAGACAGTGTCTTATTGATCGGTGTTTCGATCCCCTCCCGAGAGGTTTACAAGTCATATTTATAGGCTAAGGAACTAGTGTTTCAAAAGGAAACTGATACAATAAATGCTATTAATTACATATTAGTTCGAATAGGACTCTTGTAACGTCTTGGCCATTGCGCAATGATTGTTCTTTAATTCCCACATTCCTGCCGTTAACTCCTGTCAGCTGTCGTTCTAATGATAGTGTGCCACGTCAGCCCTAGGAATCCTCCGGCCTCACTAGAACTCCACCCAGGCTCAAGGTCTGCTTTCCATCCTGGCCTGGTTGTGGGTTCCTCTCGTGGGCTTGATTCCTAGTTAGGCCCAGTGGTTATCTAACATTAATCCCATTTAAGGGCTCTGTCCCGTCGTGGGCTTATTCTGTCAATTAGGCTAACCCCATGGAGGGTTGATCCTGTTATGGGCTGGATTATGTAATTGGACCATGGTCAGAGTCCATGGTACCATCACGAGCCCCCTACTCTTTAAAATCAGCGAGGCTGAATTTTAGGAGAGTAATTTGGAGCGAACAATTTCAAATTTGGAATCTCTTGGGCGAATCGTAGCGCCCCTTGCATTAAATGTGCCCGACTTGACATAGGCCTGCAACCCAGAACAGTTCCCGATCCGACTTACTATTTTCAGCACTCGAGTGTTATCGTTGCTGTTCTCAAGCGGTTTTCAAGCCCTAATTTCTTGGCTATTGAAACGCTTATCATTCTTCATTACGCTCTTTCGCAATCTTCCCTCTTGCATTGGCATTCGTCTTCTTGGTTGGGAGCTTTAGGCCGTGAAACCCTTTTCCTCCGTATTCAAGCCTCATCAGGTTAGTTTCCCTGATGTCTTCTTCGAGGTATGTTCCTCTGCATCATGTATCCCCTGAGGCAGGGGCCATCTCCAACCGGCCTCGCATTCCGGTGGACCCGGATGGGAGGGAAACTCACTTCTTCCTCTCCTGCGAGTACGTCCGGCAGGTTCTGGCCGTCGCTTTGTCCGACGCTGAATTTGGCGAGGTGGTGACTCTCGCGGGCCCTAGCGTTGTATGCTCCCGCCCAACTCCTGGGCAAAATATTGTAGATCCCCCTTCCCCTCTTCATTTTGAGGTACATCTGGCTAGTTTGCAAATAGGCCTTCGATTCCCTCTTCATACTGCCCATCTGAGCCTTATGGGCTATTATGGCGTGATTCCTGGTCAGTTTTCCCCAACCACCCATATGTTCATAGCTGGGTTCTTTGCTCGATGCCTGCATTTAGGTGTTCGCCCTTTCATTGATATCTTCCTCCATTTCGATTCTTTCACTCTGTGCGACCTGGTGGTTCTGAGTCCCCGGGATACCTCTCGATATCTCAACGGGCCGGCCACCGTTTATTTGAAGTCAAATCTTACCCCGACTCTTTCAAGGGTTGAAGGCAGAAATGGGTATGGGTCACCCCTGCGGATGGGAGGTTGCAGTTTGAGAACAGGTGGGGAGAGATAATTCAGAAATGGGCCATGCCTTTTCTGTCAGAGGGCAATGCGGAGACCGCCAAGCTGATTGTTGAGGGTGCACCATTTCTGATGGGCCATTACGTAGGTGAGGACAGGGTGGTTGTACTTACCTTTTCGTCAGGTCGGGTTTGTCTGAGTTGGCGTTCCTTTAAATTATTATCTTCTGATGAATGCCTTTTTCCTGACTCGATTTGTGCTTGTTACAGCGGGTGATAAGATGACCTCCCGGTTGGAATGACTCGCGGCGAAGGCTGGCGTCACTCCCGATCCCTTAGTTTCTGCCAGGAAAATCCAGACCCCTCTTGATTTTATATGCATTGAATATACTGTATATGTTAAAGATCAGAGAGGGTTTTTCTTACATGCAACCTACTCTTTTGATCAAATTTATAGGCTTATAGCACACAGCTAGCCACCACTCTTGATTATTGATCAGCTAGCTAGCCACCACTCTTGATTATTGATCAGCTAGCCATCAAAGTTTGCCTCCTAAACCTTGAACGGGACGTCAACCAACTTAGCTCGCAGCTTCAATTGTCACGTGGAAGTATAATTTACATATACCATATATAGTCCTGCAGAGAGGTTCTCATACGGTTCGATGTTTGATACTACCTTCGTCCCACTAAGATTGGAACAAGATAAGGTGGCATGAATATTAAGAAAAGTGAATTTGTGTGATTGATATTAAATTGATAAAGTAAGAATGATTTAGAATCACAAATTCTTTAACAAATTTGATATGAGACAATCTTAGCGAGACTATGGGAGTAGATCTTTATTGAAAATTAGATTTTTTGTAGTAAATTGTTGAAAGGAGAATAGTAAATCAGAATGAAAAACAACGGTAGCTAGGAATACTGTGGATCAAGGACAAGTGGGGTATAGTACTATAGTAGCCTAGTAAGAGCTTCGTTAGTGCGCAGGATGACTTGTCAACTGATGGCTTTCTTTCATACGCATAACTTACGAGAAGAATGAGATATATATACCATTAACTTTAACAACACATATGAAGAAAGTTATTAGTAAGTAAATGAGTAGTTATGATGTATTTTTAAATGTGACAACTCTATATTTCATGCATGTTGATGTGTATATGTGTGTATTTTTTATACACACAAACACAACATTAATAGTCACTTATGTAAAAATATTGATAAAACTACAATTTCGATGTCTCCGACTATTCCCTGCCTAGACGCCCGAATAGCGTCTAGCGCCTTTTAGAATATTGGTATTTATTCAGTCAATTTAATTTTTTCCTTCAATCCGGTACCCGAGTACTGCCAATATACTCACCCAGAAAAGTATTTTTAACTAAATCCTTACTTTTATTACTATATATTATTCTTTTGCCAATTTGTTTTTTTGTGAATAATTATTTGTATTTAAAAAGTCAAACATTCCGATGTATAAATAAATAAATTTGGAGTTTAACTTTTTTTCTTATAACTTCATACCTACTTTATAAAAAAACTACATAAAAATGTAAGAAAAACGTTGGATCTTAATTTTAGCTCTCGAATATATTTAAGAAAAATGTTGTGTATGATAATCTCTTATAATTGAAACTTCATTTTTTAAAATCTTATATATTTAATATTGGTGTCACACGAAAGATCATAAAAATTATGAATTTCTATATATTTTTTGTACAAATTAGATTACAAACAAAAAGGTTATAATACTTTAACATAAAGGTGTACCTAACATAAATTGGGATTTTTGTTTTAAATGGGCCCACATATATTCTTAGTTGCGCCTTAAGACATGCATGTCAAACCATCCTCTCTCCTGGGGTGAATAAGGGTCGTAGCTTTCCACCCTTAGATTCCAGCCCAAGCTATTCTAGCACCCTCGGTTGTTTTTACTTGGACGGTAATTCATCCCAGATCAGATTACAATAGATCAGACCAGACCAAACCAGACCAGAGCAGAACAGACCTGATGGATGGTCTACCCGGGGGTATATATCCGAAGGGTTATTGCGGGGAACAACTTAGAGAGAAGTCAGAGCAAGTAAGTGAAAGTAGAGAGAGTGTATTCAGTATGAATGTCGTGGTTACAAATGGGGAAATGGGGTGCTATTTATAGTAGCAATAAATGCCGGACAGGGACACGTGTCAAACGCTCATTGGCCGAGGGGTCACCTCAACTGGTTGGCGCTGGCAGCCGCATGTGGCCGCATTTAATGCGGCTGTTGGATGGGACGTTTGTGCAGGGTACGGTGATCTGTACGCATGTGAGGCGGATATCTTGTCGAGTGAGATGCCTTCGGCTATAGAGCAGTAGCCGAGGGCTCCTCCAACCGATGGCACCCTGGTGTCGAGGGCTCATAGTGCCGAGGGCTACTGTTTTCGCCGTTTTCTCCCAGTTTCTTAATTTTCTTGAGAAACCCGTTCTTAATTTTCGCTGGAGTAGTAGGAGTCTGTGGGTCGGGGGTTCCCGGGCCATATACTCCATCAGGAGTCCCTCACTCCTTTTGCCGAAAGGTACTTGAGGGAAAAGGAGTAATTTGTGCTTGCCCTTTGACGTTGTCCTGTCGTAACCTCTGAAGTTGGTGAGGAGTTGTGGCTTTTATGTCCCTGCCGAAGGCAGTCCCTCAGTTACCCACATGTCGGGACTTGAGGGCTTGCTTTGTCGTTTGTTGGAATTTCACTAATTTTGTAATTTAATAAATTTCCCGAGGGGGTCCTCCAGTCCCCCACTCCTTGAGGCACTTGTAAAGTGGTGAAAAGGAGTAGAGTAGTTGTGTTGCTGTTGTGGGCCGAAGGCTGACGCTTTTCGTTTCATTTTGGGGGGATGCCTCGTTAAAAACCTCATTAGGAAAATCCCTGGGGGAAAAAATCCTAATGAGGGAAAAAATCCTAATGAGGGAAAAAGAGTGCACCGAATTCCCCCAATGATGAATCGAAAATGTGAAACCTTGGTCAAAAATGGAGAACAACGGTAATGCCGAAGGCTCTTCCTTGTTCTGAGGGCTCATGCGTTGATTAGCCGAAGGCTTGCTGTTGATGTCCTGGGGGCGCCGAAGGGGAGCCCCTCAATCCGGGGATCGAGGGCCTGCCGGATGAGGGCAGCAGTGGAGTTGTTACCGGGGGGTCCACTGTTTGTTGATTAGTTGGTGATGAAGGTACCCGAGGGCTCCCATTACCTGTGTGCCATCATCCGTCAATGAGGCAACTCCCCGGGGGCTACCCGGTTTTGCAGTGCTGAGGGGGAATCCCCGAGGGGTGCCCTGATATGAAGCCTTGGGTTTCTGAAGGAGTGATCCCGAAGGCGTCTGCTATGGGCTGTGTGGGGCACAACCCGGGGGCATCTCTGGGTAAGTGTACCCGGAGGCTCTCCTTGATGTAGCGGAGTGCAGCAGAAAACCCGGGGGCTTCCAGAATATAGCCGTTGGAAATATAGCCGTTAGAATACGTAACGTCAGGATATAGCCGTTGGGGGGGACACGTGGCGCGTGATGGCTGGCTGTCCGCGGGCGGCATCACTGGTTGGGCGAAGACGCGGTGTGTAATGATGGCGGTCCACCCGGAGGCCCGGAATACAGGCCCAAGCCCGGATTCCAATGCCTATAAATACCCCAAGGCCAGAGCCATTTCCTCTTGTGCGATCAGTTGTCTTAGCGAAGCTCTGCCGAAAATTCTAGTGAGAGAAACTCCAGCCTTCGGTCAAAACTCTGCTTTCAAGGTCAGTGCCCGTTTTCCTCTCCAGACTTTTAGTAAGTTCCGCCCTCTGGCCTTAGATTAGGGTTAGTCCTGTAGAAAGCCTTCGAAATCTTAGGCACACTTCGTGATAAAAATGTCGTCCGAGAGCGATTCCCAGGACATCTCGAGGACGCCCTCGATGGAGGACGAAGGCATCTCCGACGTGGAGTCCAGTAGCGGTCAGCCCTCGGATGGTGGTGATGCAGCCCTCGCCACTGAGGTGCAGAAGGATCTGATGGCCGAGGCCGAGGCGGAGGAATTCGAGCGGATCGCCGAAGATGAGGAGTTGGCCCTCGCCGTCCAAATTGCTGAGGAGGAAGAGGAAAAGGAGAGGGCGAAGGTCACTGTGGCCGTCCTTCCCCCTCGGGGTGCTGGTGAGGCCAGTACTTCCCAGCCGCTGATGCAGTTCCCATCCGGGTGGCCCCCGGGAAGAAGAAGGCCAAGGCAGCTGCCCCCAAGAAGAAGGTTATTGATGCTGATCAGGGGAAACCCGTAGATATGCCGGAGGGGTATTCCTGGCTCAATACGGCTGCCTTGGAGATAAAGTCGAAGGCGGACAGGGCGGATCTCTACGTCACGCAGCTACACGTAGGGCCCTCGGTCGTGGTGGTCGAGCCGGGAGTTGACGACGTGCTCTCTCGGGCGCCCGATGGGTGTATTGCGGTACACGTACTGTCGGTCTCCATGGGCCTTCGGTTCCCTCTGCACCCCTTCCTCCGGGAGTACCTGAGGTTTGTTGGCTTGGTACCCTGCCAGCTGACACCTAATAGCCACTCCTACGTGGTGGGTTTTTTAAACCTCTGTAGGGACCGAGGGGTGACCCCCAGGCTGGACTTGTTCTTCCAGAGCTTCAACCTTTGTCGAGGGGGTCACGCGAATGCCGAGGGCTTCGCCAACCTGCAGCAGGTGGCCAGGTGGAAGCTATTTACGGAGGCGCCTTCGTCAAATAAGGGCTGGAAGGAGCGATGGTGCTATGTCAGGGTTGCTGAGAACCCATTTCCGGCGGAACTTCGGGATCGCCTCCATCGGCATCCGAAGGTTGGAAGCGCCGCCCTCGAGAAAGATGGCCTGGTGATAGCCAAAATCCCGGAGGGTCGCACGAAGCAGGTCTCCATCAAAGACTACACTGCCGACAAGGGACTTTACGCCCTCGGCTTTCGGAGATACCGCTTCATTGGGGAAGCGGACGAGAAGTACCCCATTTTTGATGAGGCCTTCGGGGGAGCAGGAGGTAGTCTACGAGGTCCCTCGGTTTTCTTATCTTAGCACATAGTTTATTTTGTTCGTTGTTTTTTTTTTATTCCTTGTGCCTTCGGTCAGTAACCCCTCGATTTTAACCCCATACTATTTTTGCAGGTGTCCCAGTGAAAATGATGAACGTCAGAGGCCTTGCAGACCTGAAGAAGAAAAAACCCTCCAAGGGCCCGAGGGGGACGGACGCCGGTGTCCCAAAACCCACCGGTGACTTCTTCAAAAAACCGGAGGGGCCGTCGGTGGGCCCAAGTGCTGATGCTGCCGCTGCCGCCAAAAGGAAGGGCTCGGGCAGAGATCCCGAGGGCAAGAAGCCCAAGACCGGGGATGCCGGGAAGAAAGTCCCTCCGGTGATCATTGTTGATGAAGGCCCTGCCTCCGGGGCGAATGAGGACATGCAGGTGGCGAAAGTGCCGTCGGGAGTTCAGGGGCCATCTTCCGAGGTCCTCATGGTTTCCCTCCCGGCTGGTACGGCCGTGATGAATGGTACGGCCGACCCGAGGGCGCTTCTGAGAGGCATCACCCTCGAGATTGACAGAGTAGCCCTCGG